TAAAGCCTTTTCATTGGGTGATATTCTTCCCAGAAAGTTAAGATGGTAACTAACAACTCAACAGTGCACAGATTTCAATGGGTGTCACGTCAGCCTGGTTTTTAGATTCTCTGGAATATATTTGAAAGACCGGTATAACAGTTTTATTTTAAATGTCACTATTCACAATATGCTGGAAGTTACATCCTTTGCAGTTACTTAAATTTATGATAAAAAGGTTAGATGTCAACTCAGAAGTGTACATAATTTCAAAACATCCAACCCTGTCCCGTAAACAGATGCAGGCCATTGCCCTAGAGCGAGTCCGATGCAGCCTGGAGTCTGAGAGCGGAAGTTACCCCTCCCGAGGGCATCGGCTGGAAGGCAGCCTGGTCCCCCTCACCTCCATGATGCAGGCTAGCTGCTCCACCTCGTTCTCCCCAGGGAACAGGGGGGTAGCCCGTGTACAGCTCGGCCATGATGCAGCCCAGGCTCCACATATCAATGGCCATGTTGTAGGGATGGCCCAGGATCACCTCTGGGGGATCGGTAGAACCGGCTTCGGATGTAGGTGTAGACTGCAGGGGAAAGAGAAACCTCACGTGGAAATCTCCTCTCCAGAGCACGCGGCTCCACATACCTGCTCAGGCGAGGGTGGACGATAATTAATTAAGAACCCCCCCTACCCCCGACTTCTTTTCACTCTCCGGGCTTTGCACGGAGAAGGAAGTACAGATGGTCCCATCCCACATCTAATCTCATCACATCCTCAGAGCAACCTGATTATCACGAGGGGTTGTTAGCCTCACATTACTGATAAAGAACTCTAAAGTAGGCATTGTTCTAGAGAAGTAAATTTGTCAGGCAAGTTTTCAAAAAACATAAGATGAATATAAAGCTAAGTTTTCAAATTGTCTGATTAATCTGGGGTAGACGCCCTCTGAAGTACTGCGATTTGGCAAGGGAAGACGTGTATGAAAGTTGAAAAAGCAGCATGCAAAATGCATAATGTAAAAATGTATATTCCATACATTGTGTGCCTTGTGTTATATAAAGTATAGAAAGAAAAGTTCAACAAAATCTCAGCAGACGAGGATGTACAGAGGATATTTAGTACTGCAGGCAGCCTAGATTTTACAGAGGAGGAAACTGAGGTTGGAGACATGGGACATTACAGTTATTTGCAAATGCTGTTAACTGGTTACCTAGATGGGGGCAGGGCAAGGGATTTTGTAGTCACTTCTCTGTTGTTTGACTTGGGTACAGTAAGGATGTAATAATTTTTAGTGATTTAAAACAAAATAAAGATTTAATAAAAATGACTTTGTACCCTGTCTGTTTCCAAAATGGACTTGAGGCACTTTGCAATCAAAGCACAAATATACAGGGAAGATTTTTTAAATGAATTTAATGACAGAGGAAGACAAATACAATATGATTTCACTTACATGTGGAATCCAAAAAACAAGTGAACAAACAAAAGGAAAGAGAAATGTCTGTTTAGGCCTTCTGCCCATGTTTGGATTGGGTTGTTTGTTTGATTGATATTGAGCTGCATGAGCTGCTTGTATATTTTGGAGATTAATCATTTGGCAGTTGTTTCATTTGCAAATATTTTCTCCCATTCTGAGGGTTGTATTTTTGTCTTTTTTATGGTTTCCTTTGCTGTGCAAAAACTTCTAAGTTTCATTACGTCCCATTTGTTTATTTTTGTTTTTATTTCCATTTCTCTAGAAGGCGGGTCAAAAAGGATCTTGCTGTGGTTTATGTCAAGAGTGTTCTGCCTATGTTTGCCTGTAGGAGTTTTATAGTGTTTGGCCTTTACATTTAGGTCTTTAATCCATTTTGAGTTTATTTTTGTGTATGGTGTTAGGGAGTGTTCTAATTTCCTTCTTTTACATGTAGCTGTCCAGTTTTCCCAGCACCACTTATTGAAGAGGCTGTCTTTTCTCCATTGTATATTCTTGCCTCCTTTATCAAAAATAAGGTGACCATGTGTGTGTGAGTTTATCTCTGGGCTTTTTATCCTGTTCCATTGATCTATAATTCTGTTTTTGTGCCAGTACCATACTGTCTTGATTACTGTAGCTTTGTAGTATGGTCTGAAGTCCGGGAGCCTGAATCTTCCAGCTCCATTTTTCTTTCTCAAGATTGCTTTGGCTATTCGGGGTCCGTTGTGTTTCCACACAAATTGTGAAATTTTTTGTTCTAGTTCTGTGAAAAATGCCATTGATAGTTTGGTAGAGATTGCATTGAATCTGTAGGTTGCTTTGGGTAGTATAGTCATTTTCACAATGTTGATTCTTCCAATCCAAGTAATGGTATATCTCTCCATCTGTTTGTATCATCTTTAATTTCTTTCATCAGTGTCTTATAGTTTTCTGCATACAGGCCTTTTGTCTCCTCAGGTAGGTTTATTCCTAGGTATTTTATTCTTTTTGTTGCAATGGTAAATGGGAGTGTTTCCTTAATTTCTCTTTCAGATTTTTCATCATTCATGTATAGGAATGCAAGAGATTTCTGTGCATTAATTTTGCATCCTGTTATTTTACCAAATTTATTGTTTAGCTCTAGTAGTTTTCTGGTAGCATCTTTAGGATTCTCTATGTATAGTATCATGTCATCTGCAAACAGTGACAGTTTTACTCCTTCTTTTCCGATTTGGATTTATTTCTTTTTCATCTCTGATTGCTCTGGCTAAAACTTCCAAAACTATGTTGAATAATAGTGGTGAGAGTGGGCAGCCTTGTCTTGTTCCTGATCTTAGTGGAAATGGTTTCAGTTTTCCACCATTGAGAACGATGTTGGCTGTGGGTTTGTCATATATGGCCTTTATTATATTGAGGTAAGTTCCCTCTATGCCTTTCTGGAGAGTTTAGCATAAATGGGTGTTGAATTTTGTTGAAAGCTTTTTCTGCATCTATTGAGATTGTCATATGGTTTTTATCCTTCAATTTGTTAACATGGTAAAAGCAGGAAAACTAAATAGTTGAATGACAGCAGCATCACCTGGAAGAATATACAGTCTGGTCCATGGAGGACAGACATTCAAATAAAATTTTTTTAAGGAGCCAAGTTGATTTTCAGTCTTCAAGGACAAGTAGGAATTAGCAATGGAAAGAAGGCAAATAAGAACCATCTGAAGGCCTGGAGCCACGGGTACTAGCACCCAGTGTGGTGTGGCAGGGGGTCAAAGGTGAACGTGGGCAGCATGGGACAAGGTTGAAGAAGCGGACAGGGGCCAGCCTGATTCGAAATAGCTTGTGAACTAAACAGGCTAAGGGGTATGTGTGTGGATTTTAAGCAGAGGGGTGTTCGGGCTCAGATTTTATTTTAGGAAACTCCCTCTGGCTAGAGTGGCTTGATGGGTAGGCCCGAGTAGGTTACCAGTCAAGGCAAGGACGCCAGTTAGTAGTCAGAGTAAAGGCAGCAAGTGGAAGGAGAGAGCAGTTTTGAGAAACGCAGGAAATGGACTAGAGCTTGCTGAACGGATGTGAAGGGTGCAAGTGCCTGAGGCACCTCAGCTGCCTGACGGTGATGCTATTTACTAACAGAAAATATAGGAGGGAAAACGCCTGGGGAGGGGGAGACGTATTGATTCAGTGATGACTTACGTCAAATGATCAAGTGGTCTGTGTCAAGAGCAAGGTCTGGGCTTAAAGATCCTGACTTGGCAGTCACCGTCACACTGGTGACCACTGGAACTTGAAGTTGCCCAAACTTTGAAAGAAAAAAGGACCAGGGGGGAAAAGAATGGAATCTCACAGAATATGGTATGGTAGTGAGAGCTGTGGGTGTAGGTGACACAAAAGATTAGCAAGCCACAAACAATGAAGATAGGCAGGGAGGCAGGGAGAAAAGTACAAAAGAATGGTGTCATACGGGCCCAGAAATAAAATGTACTAAGCAGGGTATAATGAATAGGGTCTACAAGATAAGGTGAGAAAGTGTACCCTGGGTTTGGCAACAGAAAGGTCATGAGTGCTTTCTGCAAGGCCAGTTCTGACACACATTAAGGTAATTTTCAGTGGAAAGTACTAATATCAATAGCATAGAGAAAACAGGTTCATCAAGCTGGTCCAGATGACTAATTAATGATATTAGTACTAACACAGGGTAGGCTCTTAATAAATGTTTATTGTTAAACAGCCGCATACAGAGTACCTCAATACCGTGTCCCTGGGAAACAGGTTTCCAAGAGGGGGTGGGGCGGGGTAGGTTAGGGGGTGTAAGACAGTAGAAAATACACACTCGATAAGAAAAAATATATATTAATAGCAGTAGGATCATAATTCCTACATAAAATCATCACTTTAATCATAATTCTAAATACTTATCTTCACATTAACATAGATATTTCATTAACCAAGAAGAACTGAGCTAAGTATTATGTATTTTTTAATGGTTAACATGATTCAAAATATTTTTATTAAAAATTGAAATTTGGTTTGGGTTGAAGCTCTCACCATAAATAAGTATCACTATTTTTACTCACAGTGAATTAGGATCTAAGCTTCCTAAAGGGCTGTACTATCTAATACAATAGGGGTGACAAGTACTTGACAGCCACCCTCTAAAGCACGGGCTTAATGTAAAGTGACGACTTTAAGAAACAGCTCTTCCCCTTTATATTTACAACAAAAGGGCTAACATTTTTTTGCAAAGCACTCATTTTATCATGAAATGTAGACAGAGACAGGTGGATGCATTAGCATCAAGGAAAAGTGCATATCACAACTTTTTCACTTTTATTAAAGGTTTTGACAATGAGGGCTCCATAAAATGTCACAAAATTCTATTTGCTATCTAACCATCTACTTCGAAGTAGGAGACATACGCTATAGTATAGCAACTGTTTTGGGTTTTTTTGTTTTTTTTTTTCTTTTGTGGTATGCGGGCCTCTCACTGTTGGGGCCTCTCCTGTTGCGGAGCACAGGCTCCGGACACGCAGGCTCAGCGGCCATGGCTCACGGGCCCAGCTGCTCCGCAGCATGTGGGATCTTCGCGGACCGGGGCACGAACCTGTGTCCCCTGCATCGGCAGGCGGACTCTCAACCACTGCGCCACCAGGGAAGCCCAGCAACTGTTTTAATATGGAAAATTATTCTGAATTCTCAATATAAAAACATTTGGCTAAAATATGAAACATCATTGCAACAAAACTGACAATGCAGGTTAAGTTATAAGATTTCAGAAATGTCTCCTGGGAGAAATGGGAATTTTCCTTTTGCCAGATAAACTCTGCACAGTTAAATTTCAGGTGCCATAAACTAGACAAAGCCAGAAAGAAGCATCGGGCATGTTACTAGGAAAGAACAACATGTAACGGGGACATCCTCCATGTCAAACTGACAGCCACGTAATGACAGTGACTTATTATATACATATAAGGGAAAGAGAATATGCTCTTCAGAAGGGGATGACATTCCAAGGTAATTCTTATAAACAAACCTCTTACTGAAGTCTCAGATAGCTTTCCAGAGAACAATCACAAAACAGGTAGAGATCATTTATACAACTTTAAAGGATTCATTTATGTTACAATACCCTCCTCAAATATAAACACAAATATAAACATGCTTATAAAAGTGAGATCTTCTTGATCAAACGTTTTCTTGCCACTACACTCAGCTACTAGCAGCATTTGGATGCAAAGGTTTAACTCGTGCTAATCGGGACAAGCCAAGGCGGAGACTCTGAGTTGGAGACTTCACAGACACTCTTGCCAGTGGGCTACGGCTGCTGCTTCCAGACACCGCTGCAAAAAGACAGATCACCTGATGCTGAGAACGTCAGAAATCTCGTAACAAAGGTCAGTTTATAAAACAGAAGAGGCCAAAAAAAGGAGTTAAGCGTTATTCTGCTATGCAGGTTCCATCAAGTTACATATGAGATCAAAAGAATGGGAAGTACTAAAGAGCAGAAAATATATAGCATTGCATATTTTCAAACATCCTCAGAGGCCAAGGTAATGACACCAAAACTTTAAATGTGAAAGTTAAATAGGAAAGTTGGGAGCAAAGAACACTGATTGTAAAGACATAAAAAAATGAATGGAATTGTAATGTCTAAAGTAGTAGCAAAATCTAACGCATTTTTACAAAATTCTGCAACTTTTACAAGTACTCCTTACAGAATCTATTTTTTCAAATATCACATAACTTTTAATATGACAAACACCATTTTTCTTTATTTATACTAGTTTCATTTATGCTACCACTCTAATACAGCAATCATTTCCAACGAGTATTAAATTTCAGAATTTATCCACATGTATGTTCGTAGCTGGTCATGATTTTAACTGTAAAAAGTACAAGTGTGTGTGTACTTTTTTCATACAAAGGTTTTATGAACATTTCCATGTTTCCAGCCATCTGATTTATCATTCTTCGTTGCACATACGTGCCACATATTAATCAAATTCCTACAACAAACTTCTGGGTTGTTTCTAGTTTTTCACTTTTCTATAAATGGCTATAAAGAAATCACTTACTACTGACCACTTACTACTTTTCCTTCTTTTGAATTCTTTTTAAGGATAAATTCCCAAGATTAGTTCCTAAGTCAAAAGATCGATTTATTTTTATGGCTCCTGTCACGCTGTCTTGTAAAGGGATTATAAATTTATAATAAATAATTATAACTGCTACCCCACAACCCAGAGTGCACTGGTTGCTACAGCTTTATTATTTTCTAGTTTGAGAGGTATAAAACAGTATTTTATTATTTTAATTTACATTTCCGTGATTACCAGCGAGGCTGCAATTCTTTGCACATTGGTTTCTAGTTGTACTTCTTGGGGGCAGTGGTGTGTTATGTCCTTGGCTCATTTTCCCATTGGAATCTTGCTGGTCTTCTCACATTCGTATTAGACAGGAGGCTAGCTGGCAACCTGAGGGTCAAATCCTGCTCTCAGATATACTGTTTGGTCCACATGGTGTTTTAAAAAGTCTACTTTTAAGAACTAGGAGATTTCACACTAAAACCTGTACTTCTGGCTTCTCTTGAAAAACTCAGACGTGGAAATCCGAGGCCCATAATCCTGCATGTTAACAACCAGGTGGAGCAAAGGAACGGCGGCTTCCTTCCAGAGGGCTCGCGCTCTCGAGGGCAGCAACGCCCACTCACTCACGCTTCCTCCCCAGGCCCAATTCCCTCACCTCTGTCACCTGCCGGCCCTTCCCCACAATGAATTAATAAGCACTTCGTGTTTTATGACATGACTCTTTACCCATCAATCCATTATTTCTTTTTTATCTTTTTGCTTATGCTACCTTCAAATTTCTACAGTCATTATATCAATACTTTTAAAGTTCTTTTGTTGCGGAATCCCTAATTATTCTCATAAGGATTACACTAAGGATTATCCTTGAACTGACAGAGCTTCATTATTTCAATAACTAATCTTCCGGGACTTTCCTGGTGGCACAGTGGTTTAGAATCCGCCTGCCAATGCAGGAGACACGGGTTCGAGCCCTGGTGTGGGAAGATCCCACATGCCGCGGAGCGGCTAAGCCCGTGTGCCACAACTACTGAGCCTGCGCTCTAGAACCTGTGAGCCACAACTACTGAGCCCACATGCTGCAACTACTGAAGCCCACGTGCCTAGAGCCCACACTCTGCAACAAGAGAAGCCACCACGATGAGAAGCCTGCGCACCGCAACGAAGAGTAGCCCCCGCTCGCCGCAACTAGAGAAAGCCCGTGCGCAGCAACAAAGACCCAACACGGCCAAAAAATTTTTTTTAAATAAAATAAAAATAAATTTTAAAAAATAATATGAGCAAGTGCTCATACGTAACATTTACAACTAAGAAAAAACAAATCTACTCGTGGTAATTTTCCAAGCCCTTGCCCTTGAGCAGTAAATAAATATACCGTACCTGGTGGGACCCACTTAGGTCTCTTGCTTTCAGCTGGAGGACTTCGTATTTGTAACAGCTTCCTAGTAGCCTCTGAAGAAGGAGAAACCTTTTTCGGTGAGGGCCAAGATTCTGACTTGACAGCAGCAGGAGCAGAATCTACTGAAGTCACTTATTTGAAAAATATACATAGAAGAGGGGTCACAGAGGAAGATAAAGTCTAGCATGTATGTGTGAAAATTGTCAAGTTACATAAGCTTATAAGAATTAAAGAAGCGGAATCATAAATTTGAAAAACTCATTAATCAACATTTATTGAGAGTCTAAGAATAGCCATCTTTTATGAGCATTACATGCTAGGAAGTATGGTAAGCATATCATATACATTACCTCTAACCCTTAGAGCAACTCCGATACAGAACTGACTATCCATACTGTCAGTTAAGGAAACAGAGAGGTTAAACAATCTGCCTGTAGTTTGAGAGCTAGTAAGTGTCTGAGTCCAGAGTCCACACTTATAATCATCACACAATAGTGTCTCATCGGAATATGTCAGTGAGACATTTTATCAGGCTCTAGGAATTCACGGTCCAATCACTAGACTCTAGTAGAAAGGGCGGAAAAGCACAGAGGTGCGTACAGTGCAACGTGGTGAGAGAGACGACAGACTCTAGAGGTGGTCACGGGGCAGGGAACCTACATCTAGAAGCATCTTGCCGAGGTCAGTGTAAAAGCAGACCACCTAGACGGCTCTATGGTAACCCAGGTGAGAGGGGATCAGGGCCTGAACTAAGGGGGAGAAAGGAGGGAAAACAGCAGAGCGGATGGCTTTTAGTAATCAGAAGGGGGAGGCGTGCTGGAGATGAGGGAATAATCATGATTGGCAAGTTCCTGTCAGGAACACACCATCTGATGGCACCATTTACCCAGAGAATGAACACAGAATGGGAGTGGGTTTGGATCTTTTGTTGGTTTGTTTTTGATGGAGGGAGGAGAAGCAGAATACAAATTCACTTTCAGATAATGTTTGCTTCGAGATACCTAAGTGGCATCTACGTGGATGTGCATATGAACATTTTCACTATACACTCTTCTTAACGTTAACATCTACATTCTCTAGGTCAGCCCCATCCCACAGACTTTTCTGCCGTGATGGGAACGTCCTGTATTTCGTGCTGTCCGATACGGTAGCCACAAGCCACATACAGTGAGTGAGCACTTGAAATGTGGTTAGCAAAACCAAGGAACTGACTTTTAAATTTTATCTAATTTTAATTAATTTAAATATGATAGAGCTACTTTGGCTAGTGGCTACCATATTGGACACCATAGCTCTTGCAATTTTCTCTATTCAGGGACAAATTATAACACCTGCCAGGTCAGAGACGCTTAGAGGTTATCAGTACATTATTAGTGGGACTAGAAATATAATCCACCTTTCCAAATTCTTAATCTCCTTATTTAGCTGTTACACTTTACTTCTAATATTACACAGGAAATTTTCTCGGGAAGCAACTTGCTCCAGGGTATATGGAAGGCTTTAAGCGGCAAACTCCAACCTGGAAACTGAAATTTTATCGTTAGTTTTTAGAATGTTTTGGTGAGCAAGCATAAACAAACATCTGAAGAAAATATGAAATATATTCACGTTAGGTTTTTTCCCTATTGTCAATGACTTTTTCATATCAGTTTGTGGTAGGCGGTCCCTTAAAGAGACCTGTCTCCTAATTCCCAGAATGTGTGCACATGTTACCTTACACAGCAAAGGGACTTAGCAGGTGTGACTAAATTAAGGATCTGGAGATGGGGAGATTATCCTGAATTATCCGATGGCCCCAGTGTACTCACAAGGGTGCTTATAAGTGCAAGTGAGAAGTAGGAGAACGAGAGAGTTATGTGATGGCTCTGAAGGGAGAAGTGGACCACCCGTCAGAGAGCAGGCGGCCTCTAGAAGCTAGAAAAGGCAGGAAAGGGGGTTCTTCTCCCCTTGAACTTCCACAGAGGAACAGAGCTCTGCCAGCAGCTTGATTTTAGCCGAGTGAGGAAAATTTTGAACCTATGACCTGAAGAACGGTAAAGTAATAAATTTGTGTTGATTTAAAACACTAAATTTGTGATAAATTTTTACAGCAGCAATTGGAAACTAATACACAGCTTTATCTCTAAAAACCCCTACATTTAAAATCTAATTTCTGGAAACCAGATGAATTTACTAATTGCAAAAAAACACCAATTAAAACCTGGCTAATTGAGAATACAGTGGTGGGAGGAATACGACTCAATCAGTACTTAGTTCTCATTTCTTAGTTAAGTACTCAGCACCAGTACTCAGCACCATGCTATTTAAGGTGAGAGCAACGCCCACCCTTAATGAATGGGTCTGAATAATGGAAAGTTTGGTTTCAAACAGTACATATATTAAACAACCAAGACATAAAAATATCTATCAATAAGTAAAACAAAGCAGGTTAAAGGAAGTTATATTTTACAATAATCTAATGTATATTATGAACTCAAAAATATCCTAACTTCTTTTACACAAGAAACAAATATTCCACATTCAAGTCTTCACAAATTCCACAAGTTTTATTGTAAAACTGGTTTCTCCTAACTGAATTCATTCTGAAGAAACCACAGGGCCCTAAACACATGACAAAAGCGCTCTCAACTCAAAGACTGAGTCACGTGCAACAGCAGAAAATGAGAATCACGCCAACTTCCCCGTTTAATCGTGTGGAGAAAATGTGGTCTAACGGACAGATTTACGCTCTGAATGGACAAGCCTGGGTGCAAATTCTAGCCCCTCGCTTATCAGCTATAAGAATTCCAACAAACAGTCTAACCTCTCGGAGCCTCAGTTTTGTCGCTGTGAAATGCAGGTGACGGGAGCCACTCAGAGGGAGGCCCAGCATGAAGGGGGCAAACAGTCCGTGTTGGAAGGGTTGGGGGGGGGTCAGTGCCCCTATCTGCCCTTCTGCCTTCCCCACCCCAGCCTGCTCTCCTCCACCAATCTTAACAAGAAACGAACGCTGGCGAAAGGTTAAGGAGACTAAAGGCAAAGGTGAGAGAAGCACGGCAAGTAAGCAAGCATATGTGAAGTGACATATGGGGGACTGCTCTTACCCGCATCATGCCGTTTGGATTTGGCTTTCTTCTCTTTCTTCTCAGCTGGAGATTTCCCTTTCACTTCTTTCTTTTTAATTTCTTTAATTTTACTCTTTCTCACAGGGAAACTTTCATCTTCACTGTCGCTAAAATCGGAGTCGTCCTCAGAACCGTCGCCTGGAACGGAAGATCACACACCTCACCTCTACAAAGTTCTAAAAGTGAGGCTTCTACGACCTCCCTGGCGGTCCCGTGGTTAGGACTCCACGCTTCCGCTGCAGGCTGGGGAACTAAGATCTAAGATCCCGTATGGCGCTCGGTGTGGCAAAAAAAAAAAAAAATGGTGAGGCTTCTAGTGCCTCAACTTGATCTTCTGCACCAGATTCTTGGGCCCCTTTGTGCTGTGCTGTGTCCAGGGGCAAAACAATGCACGGTGCCTGCGTCCGCATCCTGGCCCCTCCACTGACGCGTCGTGTGACCTGAGACAGGTCCCTAACCTCACCGTGCCTCAGTTTCCTATGTATAAAATAGGGAGAACCCTAAAACCTGCACCACAGGGCTGTTGCGCAGATTGAGTTAATATAGGTAGAGAATAACACCTGGCATATAGCGAACAGAAGAGCATTGCTTGCTATTGCTATTATCATTAATCTCCCATCAGTAATCCTTACTTCTGATTTTACCAGTTTAACTCAGCAACTTTTGAGAAGAATGGTTGGGTATAACATTAGCTGCTCTTCCACAACGATAGCCTTGATGGTAATAATAACCGTATGCCTCTCCTTAATCACACCAACTTCAACATGAACAGAAACCCACTGGGAATTGAGAAGAGACTGACCGCACCATAACCATCTTAACTGACAATCCTGTGTACGATTTCACCTGGGACACACCTCTGATTTCCCACAAACTCCTTTCTATTCTGCATGGGATGATACAAGCCAGTGATGGAATGTGTTAAGTAGCTACAGCTTCTGGAAAAAAGCATAGAGAATACTCGAGAGTTAAGCAATGATTCTTCTATTTTTGGGGTGAAGAGAGGATCAGAAAATCATGTCCTATAAATACTAAACTCTGAAAATTAAGTGTAAATAAGGATTAGCCCTATATTCATAAAAAACCTTTTTACACTTTTTTATACATTAGAAATGCAGTACATGCTTACTGTAGAAAATGCCAACCATACCAAAAAAGTATTAAGGAAGAAGAAAGCCCACGCCCAAATCTCCTCACTCAGAGATAACCACTGTCATACCCACCATATATAATATCTACCTGACTATCTATATGGAATAATATATTTTATGTAAAAAAAAATATATATGAAAAATTTCAAACATACTCTACAGTAGATAATCATCAATATTTTGCAACATTTGTTTCATCTATCTATCTTCTCTTCCCTTTCCTTCTCAGAGTATATAAAAATAAACCCAAGGTACTGCATTATTACATTTCTACATACTTCAGAATGCATCTCTAAAAAACACGGACTTATAAAAAACACGTCATTATCATATCTAATGATATCAACAATAGCTTCTTGGAATCATCTTCTATCCAGCCTGTATTAATCACTTTTAATATAGAGCAACATCCCATCCCTTTTTCCCCCATGCCTTTGACATGTTGAAGCAACCAGGTCAGTTGTCCTGTGGAATGTCCTACATTCTGGATTGGTCTGTTTTCTTCCTCATGGTGTCATTTCACTTACTCCTGCGTTTCCTGTGAGCTGGGATTTTCTCAAGGCTCAATGAGAATCAAGCTCACATTATTATTATTATTACTTTTTGGGGCAAGAATACACATCATAGGTGATGCTCTGTTCTCCATATTATGTCAGTCATATCAGAAAGCACAGAATGTATGGCTGCCCCACTCCTGGTTGGTTCAGCTGACGCCGGCCTGAATTCTCCATTGTAAAGATCCTCGTCAGCCTTCTATTGATGATCTTTGTCTAAATCGACAATGTCATTACAATCTTCAAATTGTGATGTCCTTATTCTATCATTCTTCCCACACAAATAAAATTTTAAAAACAGATAATCAACCCATGTATTCACATAATAGTTACCGTGTTATACAGAATTCACCATATAAGGCCAGCAGATCACATGAAGGCCGCTATATATAGTACCTTGCAAAATCAAATAATTATTTCTGGATTCCCAAGAGGATCTAGGTTCAGGGAGGGCAAGCAGTGGAGAAGTTTCTCCAAAATTTCAGACTATAGAATCTAGGAGGATACAGTTTCCTATAACCCCAACAGTCACGGTATCTCATGTGTTCTTTTCTTGGCTTGAGAGGGTAACTGTAGGAGAGGGCTATCATGCTATTTAAATAAATTGGAGGTGGGGAAATGGAGCTCCCAGAATCCCAAGTCATTAGCATCTCATACTGGGAAATCTGGAAGGCCCAGACACTCAGGTTATAGATTTGGGGTATCTTTAGATGTCCTTAAGAAAAGCCTTGATTCTCTCCACTTTCACTTTTCTTTCCCCACTGAAGGTCACAGAAGTTCCTTTCTCTTCTCATCTAGGGTGAGCCAGTGCAGGAGGAAAACTCTGAAATGTCACTTAAAGAAGGGACCCTGTCCCAGATAACTCAGGTTGTCTGAAATGAATCCAGCAGCACATTCAAGTATGATAAACAACCAGCTCTGAGGGGATGGCAGAGTGAGTCATTCCTGGCTCAGGGCAGATGGAAATAAACTGGTAGTATTGCTCCCTGAAGTACACTGAGTGTATCGGGGAACATGTCTGTCCTTCCATTTAAGGTAAAGCAGGCTGGAGACCCTTCACGATCTGGCGCCAGGCGGCCTCTCCAGCCTCCACCACATTCTCCCTTCCCTGCAAACCTCACTTAACTCCGTGTGTGTGTGTGTGTGTGTGTGTTTCTATGTCTTTTTTCTCTTGTTTCTTCCAGCTTTACTGAGATATAACTGACATGCAGCACTGTGTAAGTTTAAGGTGTATAACATAACGATTTGACTTACGTACATCGTGAAGTGACTATCACAAGAAGTTTGGTGAACCTCCATCATCTCACAGACAGAAGATTAAAGAAATCGAAAAAACTGTTTTTCTCGTGATGAGAACTCTTCGGATTTACTCTCGTAACTTTCATACGTAACACACAGCTGTGTGCATCATCTTCGTCCTATTGTACGCTACATCCCTAGTGCCTATTTATCTAATAGCTGCACGTGTGTACTTACTGACTGCCTCCATCCCATTCCCCCTCCCCCAACACCTGCCTCTGTAACCACAAACCTGATCTCTTTTTCCATGAATTTGTTTGTTTGTGAAGTATAATTGACCTAAAACACTGTGCTAGCTCCTGGTACACAACACAGTGATTCGATATTTCTATAAATTTCAAAATGATCACCTCGATAAGCTAGTTACCATCTGTCACTACACAAAGATATTACATAATTATTGAGTATATTCCCCACACTGTACATTCCATGACTCATTTAATTTGCAGCTGGAAGTCTGTCCCTCTTAATCTCCCTCAACTATTTCTTTCCTCTCCTCGCCCTCCTCCCCTCAGGCAACCACCTGTTTGTTCTCTGTATCTGTAACTGTTTCTGTTTTCTTGTCTGATCATTTGTTTTGTTTTTTAGATTCCACATATAAGTGAAATCATACAGTTTTTGTCTTTCTCTGTCTGGTTTATTTCACTTAGCACAATGCCCTCTAGGTCCACCCATGTTGCTGCAAATGGCATGTTTTCTATGGCTGAGTAATAGTCACTGTGTGTGTGTGTGTGGACACACGCATATACCACATCCTCTTTATCCCTTCATCTACTGACGGGCACTTAGGTTGCTGTCTCATCTTGGCTATTGTGAATAATGCTGCAGTGCACATGCGGGTGCAGATATCTTTTCTAATTAGTGCTTTTGTTTTCTTTGGATAAATACTCAGGAGTGGAACTCCTGGATCCTGAGGTGGTCCTAGTTTTAGTTTTTTGAGGAACCTCCAGCGCCACTGACCTCTTGTATGTGCACTTGCCTGTTCTCTTGTTTATGTCCTTCTATCAGTCAGAAGTGCTATTTCACCCCTAAATGCTACTCATTTTTCAAGGCACAGCTTAAAGGTCACCTCTAGATAAAGCTTTCCCCCCAAATGCCATAGCTGAATTGAACTGTCCTGTGCATTACTCAAGTTTGCACACACCAAACGTTTAGCAGTGCTTTGCATACGTGCATGGTCTCCAAGAACTTTCTACTGACTCTCCACAGGGTTAATTTTGAGTTAGGACATAACTTACCAGTTGCAAAGTCTGGTTCGGAGTCATCGGCACCGTCGCCGTCGCTGTTTTCCAAAAGAATCTTCCTCTGCTGGACCACGGCTTGGGATGCCGCTTTTCTTCTCCGCTGAGAACCCTGGGAATCATCCTCCTCAGTGATCTTATCCAGATCTTCAGGATAAAAAAAATCAACGAAACTTTTTGTGCCAGGTAACATTTAAAGGACTGTGGAGTAGACGTCTATTACACCTGCTCTTGTTATTTGCCCAGCTTTGTCCTTCCTGTGCTTCTAGTAACAGACCACACAGCCCAATCTGGGTCAATCATAAAACATCAGTCTCCTGGCAACAGTCTGAGTTAAGCAAAAGTCCAAGGCCCACACTGAAAGAGTCTTTCCCCAAGAATTTTCAAACTGGAGCTGGGAAGATAGAGCCCCTTTCTTCAGTGTTCAACTGATGTCAACTAGAAGCCATGGGTAGTCGTGACCCTCCACCAGGGAAGAAACTGGGTCTGCAGTTAAAAGAGAGGAAAACTAAAACAGAAAGAAACAAAGGAGAAGGGGTGAAGAGAACCTTCACAAATGTGAAGACCTTGGTTCTAGTTACAGTTTCAGGAATTTAAATAAGAGTTAGAAAATGTCAATGGAAAAAATATTATTAATATCAAAAACTTACCTAAATAATCACTGGCTACACTGCAATTGGAGATATGAGGAGACTTACTCATTGCTTCTGTTTCACTATTGCCATGTTTGTCAATGTCTAAATATAAGGAAGAAGAAAGCACCCTAATCAACCAATGTCTAGAAATAGGAAAATAAGCGCTAAAATCTAATACCATTTAGATACAGATAAGTGATCCAGACCAGGGGTTCCCAACCCCTGGGCCGTGGACTGGTGCCGGCCCGCAGCCTGTTAGGAACTGGGCCGCACAGCAGGAGGGGAGCGGCGAGTGAGCGAAGCTGCATCTGTATTTACAGCCGCTCCCTATCCCTGCCCATCGCTCGCATTACGGCCTGAACCATTCTCCCCTCTCCCCCCCGTGGAAAAACTGCTTTCCACAAAACCGGTCCCTGGCACCAAAAAGGTTGGGGACCGCTGATCCAGGCTCAAACCAGCACAGTGACTTCACTTGGCGAGGCTAACATATAGTTAGAAGTTTTGGCTCTGAAATCACACAAACTTTAATCAGACTTAAGTTCAAATTCAGGCTCTTAAATCGGCAATATACCAGGGGAAAGCTGCTTATCCTCTACAAAACCTAATTTCCTCATCTATAATGTGGAGATAAAAACAGTCTGGGGGGCTTCCCTGGTGGCGCAGTGGTTGAGAATCCGCCTGCCAATGCAGGGGACACGGGTTCGAGCCCTGGTCTGGGAAGATCCCATGCCGTGGAGCAACGAAGCCCGTCTGCCACGACTACTGAGCCTGTGCTCTAGAGTCCAAGAGCCACAACTACTGAGCCCGTGTGCCTAGAGCCCGTGCTCCACAACGAGAGAAGCCACCGCAGTGAGAAGCCCGTGCACCGCAAGGAAGAGCAGCCCCCGCTCGCCGCAACTAGAGAAAGCCCATGCACAGCAACGAAGACCCAACGCAGCCAAAAAAACCCCCAATCCAAAAAAAAACAGTGTGGGGATTAAATGAGGCTACTGTGGGGAATTAAATGTTGACTGAATGTGGAAATTGCTTATTGTGGTGCCCAGCACAAAGGAAACAGTGGACAAATATTAACTATCATTTTTGCGTAGGCAGATCTGTGCTCTTACTAATGTAAAGACTCTTCAATCATTATCACAACTTTAAAACGATCTAGAGTATTTTAAGAGAACTTTAAGTCATGATGATTGGTACTATTACTCTCGGAGAAGTGGTACTTCCAAGGAAACCTTGCTATACAATGCCACGATCTCTTACAGGAAAGAGGTTTTCATTTTCTCAGTTTTAGATACACGACAATTCTCTTTTTCAGTTTCTTTGACTCCTGATTACTAAAAGGGCCCCCTAATCAACACTATCTCACTTATTTTCAAACAGGAGGCACTACTGACTTAAACATCTATACCCCTAAATAAGCAAATGGGCTAAAACTATCCTCCAAGATAAAAGAAGTTAGGCCAAAGCAGTTTAATCCAAAAAGGAACTGAGCAATTTGAATGTCTTTTCCGGGAATAATGATTTCTGCTTCTCCAGAATATCAATGTTGCCATCTGCTGACCAATTGCCAGAAAAATCCACGGAGGACAATCCACAGATAAAGCCAGCAGTCATAAATCTATCAGGTCTACTGAGCTTGCTAATCAAATTAGTACCTTTAGCCTCTGTCAATAATAAAAATGACCACCATTAGATTGTGTTTAACTAATGTGAATTTGGAGAGAAAGAAGGTGGGTTGCTCGGATGTTTAGGCCAATTTACTTGATCATGAAATTAAATTCTCACTGCATATAAAGATGAGCTTTGGACATGCAGGGTCATAGCCCACGTCCTCCAGTTGGATCTGAGTGTTAGGCAGAGAGGCGTTTATGTGTGGATGAGATTTATGCAACTGAACAAACAACTGAATCCAACGGCACCCTCTGCAAATTGCTCCTTTTTTAGTCCAAAGTTTTAAAACTACATTCTTCCCTCTGTAAAGGCTCATCCAACGAAATGATGGCAAAAGCAATAAGAAGGTTTTAAAGACAATTATCGAAAATAAAGTTACTTTTATCTTGAGACTCCTCCACATCAATGGTGGCGGCTGGAAGTTCCTTCACTGATAAAGCCAGTGCGACTTCTAGGTCTCTCTGGTAGAGCTTATCATCTAAAGGCATTCTAAAATAGACACACAAATAATAATGAGTTTGTAAACTATCAATCTCAACTAAAATCTGAGATTTTCCTCAGTGACTAAGAGTTTCTTTCCAACCTCAGAAAGATGTTCTTCAACAATAATCATGATCACAATTGCTCCTTAACAAGTTAAGCCTCCTGAAATGTTAAGTGTCATGTTGGTCCCAGCAGAACAGATTTGAAATAGGAGCATCACGTGACAATGTCCCTTTCGTTGTGATGTCTCTTCCTCACCACCAGCTCCGTCCCGGTGGGAAGCACCTGCCCAACTGAGAACGGACGTGGCTCAAACATCACTTCCACTTAGAAAGGTTCCTTGACCTCATCCACACCTCTTTAGACAGCTGTTATAGCTCTTTTATTAAACTGAAATTACTTTTTTTTTTTTTAACATCTGTTCCGCCCAATCTGGACTTTGACAAATATTTCAGCAAGTACTTACTCCGTGAGGCATTGCACTAGACAGGATATTAAAAGTGCCCTCAAAAAAGTCTGCAGTTAATGAGGAGGTAGGAAAACAAGTCCCATAATAATTACCCGATATAAAAAGACTATCACGTCTCCTGTTCAAGGCGGTCAAGAGTGCTATAGTGCTTGAGAGGAAGAGAAAGCAAAGAAAGGTGTGAAAACGTGTGAAGGTAAGAAAAGGCTACGTAAAGGAGGTAATACTGAATGCACCTTGAAGGATTTATTTTTTAAAATAACAATTTTATTGAGATATAAGTCGCACAGTATAAAATCCACCCTTTTGAAGCATACAATTCAGCAGTTTTTAGTATATTCAGAGAGCTGTGAAACCATCACCACTATGTAATTTCAGAACACTTTCATCAACCCAAAAAGAAACCTCATATCCACCAGCAGTCAGTCCCCGTTTCCCCCTCCCCAGCATCTGGCAACCACTAATCTACTTTCTGTTTCTATGGACTTGTCTATTCCGGACATTTCGTATTACTGGAACCATATAATATGTGGCCTTTTGTGCCAGCTTCTTTGGCTCCCTACAATGTTTTCAAGGTTCATCCATGTTGTAGCATATATCAGTACTTCATTTCTTTTTTTTAACATGTTTATTGGAGTATAATTGCTTTACAATGGTGTGTTCGTTGTTGCTTTATAACAAAGTGAATCAGCTATACGTATACATATCTCCCCATATCTCTTCCCTCTTGCGTCTCCCTCCCACCCTCCCTATCCCACCCCTCTAGGTGGTCACAAAGCACCGAGCTGATCTCCCTGTGCTATGCGGCTGCTTCCCACTAGCTATCCACTTTCCACTTGGTGGTATATATAAGTCCATGCCACTCTCTCACTTCGTCCCAGCTTCCCCTGCCCCCTCCCTGTGCTTCATTTCTGTTTATTGCTGAATACTACTCCACTGTATGGATATATCACATTTCACTTATCCAGTCATTAGTTGATAAACATTTGGATTACTTCCATTTTTTGGCTATTATGAATAATGCTCCTATAAATATTCACGTACAGGTTTTTGTGTGGGCATAGATTTTTATTTCTCTTGGGTATATACCTGGGCTGGGTCATATAATAACTGTTTATTTCAAGGAGCTGCTACTCTGTTGTCCAATGTGGCTGCACCATTTCGTATTCACAGCAGCAATGTGTGAGGTTTCCGTTTCTCCACATCCTCCTCAACACTTGCTGTTGTCTGTCCTTCTGCCCTCTGGGCGTGACATGTTATCTTATCGTGGTTTTGATTTGTATTTCCCTGATGGCGAGGGATGTTGAGCATCTTTTCATGTGCTATCGGCCATTTGCATATATTCTTTAAAGAAGTGTCTATTCAAATCCTTTGCCCATTTTTAACTTGGTTCATTATTCTTTTTATTGTTGGACTGTAAGAGTTCCCTATATATTCCAGATACAAGTCCCTAATGGGTTCTATGATTTGCAAATATTTTCTCCCATCCATTGGTTGTTTTGTTAACTATATTTTAAAGGTAGTACAAGAAGCTCAAAAACAAAAAAGAAAAAAGTAAGGAGAAGGACATGGGCTAAGTCTCTCTACGTTAATTAACTTCCCTCACATTTATTGTAGGAGTAAAGCATCACACGTCCCACGTTCCATTTGTCAGTATCCCTCCTCTGCCCATCTCCTCACCATAGTGCAAGTTTGGGGCCTCTTGGGGCTTCCTTCCCTCATTTTACCCTCTCTCTTGGTACTGACTAATGGAACTCCAGGGTGGGTCTAGAAACCACAGGTCCTGCCCACTGCTGGACAAAACTCAGTAAGATAAAGAGAAAATATTTTTTATCTCTAGAAAAATACATAGTTTAATTTTTTTCTTCCAGTTTTACTGAGATATAATTGACGCCCAGCACTGCATAAGTTAAAGGTGTACAACACAGTGATTCACAGTGATCTGACTTACGTGCATCATGAAATGATGTCCACAAGAAGTTTAGGGAACATCCATCATCTCATACATTATAGATACGTGGTTTTAAATTTTATAAAACTGTCCTTACAAATGTAATTTTGAACAAAGTAGTCTTGTAAAACCTGAGGACTTCAGAGACAGGCACTAGGTCTTGTAAATGCAAGTCATACCTTCTAAACTTGGTAATTATGATTGTCTTAATACTTAAATGGATATTTCCTCATACATTGGTGAACTTAAAGAAGTTCGGAAAGTCAGAAGGGGATTAATGGTACATCCCTGTTCTCCTACATGCACTAAATAAAATAAGACCCATGATACTGCTCAAATTCTAATTTAGACCAAGAATTGGAATTTATCTCTCCTTTAAATTAGCACACCTAATGTCATATGTACTGTATGTCTTACCTCTCACCTTTTTTTAGGGGTTTTCTCTTGTAGTGGGATGTCTTTTTCCTGGAGATTCTTCAGTTTAGGTTCTGGTTTTTCTAGTTTTAACTCCTTTTGTGTAGTCCTGGATTTTTTGTTTAACGGTGCGGTTGCAGGAACAAAATCATCTATTCAAGTGTGAATTAAAAATAAAAGAATATGTGAAATTGCTTTTCCTTAGGAAGAAATAAATAAAATTACCTTCTTGGTAGCTGAGATTCATTACCATGTGTGTTCAAGTTTTAAAGATAAGCAAACTGGGGCTTCCCTGGTGGCACAGTGGTTGAGAATCCACCTGTCAATGCAGGGGACTCGGGTTCGAGCCCTGGTCCAGGAAGATCCCACATGCCGCGGAGCAACTAAGCCTGTGCACCACGACTACTGAGCCTGCACGCTAGAGCCCGCGTGCCACAACTATTGAAGCCCGCACGCCTAGAGCCCGTGCTCCGCAACAAGAGAAGCCACTGCAATAAGAAGCCTGTGCACGGCAACGAAGAGTAGCCCTAGCTCACCGCAACTAGAGAAAGCCTGTGCACAGCAACAAAGATCCAGCACAGCCAAAAATAAATTAATTTATTAAAAAAAGAAAAACAAGCAAAGATAAGCAAATTGTTTGCTTTCCACAGTTTAAAAAATACTGTTGGTATACTGTTTGTCTTTATTCTCCCTCAAGCTTCTCAACTTTGTTTTAGTGGCCTTGAGTTTTTAAAATATCAATCTATCAAAAACTAATCCCCCAAAAAGCTGCAAAGGCAACTAAGCTAGTATGTGCGAGTGGCAGAGAAAAGAACAATTAATTAAAAATCTGTAAAACCATTAGAAAAATTATTAAAATCCCCTTTATAATTTTATCATATTGACAAGTGGAAGAAAATGATTTTTGGCAAAGGGATGCTCTTTTCCAGCCCATTCTGTTCTCCCAGAGTCTTCTGTCCTACCAGTCCTCAGAAGTGAGGTGTTCTTCTATTGACACTCAAGCTAAGACTGCTGCTCTAACGTTCTAACTCATACATGACACACGTATGCATACCTTCATGTGCGTGTAGTCTGAATCACGCACTTTCGCATTTATTAATACCTGTCGTCTCTTTTATGCTTCCCCAGGTAGGAATATAATAATTTGTGACTTGCCCCCCACCCCCACGCCACAGTCTCCAGAATACAACCAGCAATTTATAACAATTTAGTGACAGATTGATGACAATAATTAAAAAGCTAGAAGTTATACCCTATGCTCTTTTCTCCCAAGTATTAGACACATGTAAGACTGGGCTCAAGATGAAAAACAGATTCCTTCAAACTGAGGAATTACTAAATGTCTGACCTGCAGAAAACTCCAGTGGCCTAAGAAAGAAACACAAAACTTACCTTTAAGTATAATGTAATCTAACAAGGTTTCCTCAAACTTTTTGACCAAAGTTCTCTTAATAGCAGAGACAAGCAAATATATATATATATATATATATAACACAATAGGGTAAAGTTTATGCCTGATCTTTTTTCAATGTCTTGTTTTATTGTACAATTAATGGGGATTTCACATTATATTCTGTAACACATTTGTATCTCAGAAAGACAGTGTGTTCTTCTTAGAGTAAGGGATAAAAGGGTACAAATCCCACGTGAGAAACATGGACCTCACAGAGTTTAGATCTAAAAAGCCATTTTACCTGCCCTATTTGGTTATGATTTATGCCAATAATTCTTGTCAGTGTAATTATCAACATAGGTATCCTAAGTGCTTAGAATATTATTTTTCCAGGCCAACCTCATATGCAATTGGTACTAACCATATTGTAGCCATACACACGCACACACACGCACACACACACACACACACACATATATCCTATAGATTGTGAGGAAATAAATTTCCAAATCTTTAAAGAAGACATAAGAAGCTCTACTTACCATCACTGTCAGAGTCCTCAAACTGGGAGTAATTCACTGGCTTCTTGTGCCTGTGAACAAAGCAGAAATTTTCATTTACACAAATGTCACCTCCATTCTTTAAGGTCATTAATAGTCTTGAGTAAATTAAAATATGTTTGGATTCCCTTAAGAATATATAAATTAAGGCCCTGAACCAAGATGGCGGAGTAGAAGGACGTGCGCTCACTCCCTCTTGAGAGAACACCAGAACCACAACTAACTGCTGAACAATCATTGACAGGAAGACACTGGAACTCACCAAAAAATATACCCCGCATCCAAAGACAAAGGAGACGCCGCAATGAGACGGTAGGAGGAGCACAATCACAGTAAAATCAAATCCCATAACTGCTGGGTGGGTGACTCACAGACTGGAGGACACTTACACCACAGAAGTCCATCCACTGGAGTGAAGGTTCTGAGCCCCACGTCAGGCTTCCCAACCTGGGGGTCCGCCAATGGGAGGAGGAATTCCCAGAGAATCAGACTTTGAAGGCTAGTGGGATTTGATTGCAGGACTTTGACAGGACAGGGGGAAACAGAGACTCCACTCCTGGAAGGCACACAGAAAGTAGTATGTGCATCGGGAGCCAGGGGAAGGAGCAGTGACCCCAGGGGAGACTGAACCAGACCTACTTGCTAGTGTTGGAGGGTCTCCTGCAGAGGCAGGGATGGGGGCTGTGTCTCACCTCTTGGACAAGGACACTGGCATCAGAAGTTCTGGGGAGTACTCCTTGGCGTGAGCCCTTCCCAGAGTCTGCCATTAGCCCCAACAAAGAGCCTGGGTAGGCTCCAGTGCTGGGTTGCCTCAGGCCAAACAACCAACAGGGAGGGAACCCAGCCCCACCCATCAGCAGGCAAGTGGATTAAAGTTTTACTGAGCTCTGCCCACCAGAGCAACACCCAGCTCTACCCACCACCAGTCCCTCCCATCAAGCCTCTTAGATAGCCTCATCCACCAGAGGGCAGAGAGAAGAAGAAAGAACTACAATCCTGCAGCCTGTGGAACAAAAACCACAGTCACAGAAAGACAGACAAGATGAAAAGGCAGAGGCTATGTACCAGATGAAGGAACAAGATAAAACCCCAGAAAAACAACTAAATGAAGTGGAGATAGGCAACCTTCCAGAAAAAGAATTCATAATAATGATAGTGAAGATGATCCAGGACCTCGGAAAAACAATGGAGGCAAAGATTGAGAAGATGCAAGAAACGTTTAACAAAGACCTAGAAGAATTAAAGAACAAACAAACAGAGATGAACAATACAATAACTGAAATGAAAACTACACTAGAAGGAATCAATAGCAGAATAACTGAGACAGAAGAACGGATAAGTGACCTGGAAGACAGAATGGTGGAATTCACTGCTGCGGAAAAGAATAAAGAAAAAAGAATGAAGACAAATGAACACAGCCTAAGAGACCTCTGGGACAACATTAAATGCAACAACATTCGCATTATAGGGGTCCCAGAAGGAGAAGAGAAAGAGAAAGGACCTGAGAAAATCTTTGAAGAGATTATAGTCGAAAACTTCCCTAACATGAGAAAGGAAATAGCCACCCAAGTCCAGGAAGCACAGAGAGTCCCAGAGAGGATAAACCCAAGGAGAAACACGCTGAGACACATAGTTATCAAATTGGCAATAATTAAAGAAAAAGAAAAATTATTGAAAGCAGCAAGGGAAAAATGACAAATAACATACAAGGGAACTCCCACAAGGTTAACAGCTGATTCCTCAGCAGAAACTCTACCAGCCAGAAGGGAGTGGCATGATAAACTTAAAATGATGAAAGGGAAGAACCTACAACCAAGATTATTCTACCCGGCAAGGATCTCATTCAGATTCGATGCAGAAATCAAAAGCTTTCCAGACAAGCAAAAGCTAAGAGAATTCAGCACCATCAAACCAGCTCTACAACAAGCTGGAGTAGCAATACTAATATCAGATAAAATAGACTTTAAAATAAAGAATGTTACAAGAGACTAGGAAGGACACTACATCATGATCAAGGGATCAATCCAAGAAGATTTAACAATTATAAATATATATGCACCCAACACAGGAGCACCTCAATACATAAGGCAACTGCTAACAGCTCTAAAAGAGGAAATTGACGGTAACACAATAATAGTGGGAGACTTTAACACCTCACTTACACCAGTGGACAGATCATCCAAAATGAAAATAAATAAGGAAACAGAAGCTTTAAATGACACAACAGACCAGATAGATGTAATTGATATTTATAGGACATTCCATCCAAACACAGCAGATTACACTTTCTTCTCAAGTGCGCACGGAACATTCTCCAGGATAAATCACATCTTGGGTCACAAATCAAGCCTCAGTAAATTTAAGAAAACTGAAATCATATCAAGCATCTTTTCTGACCATAACGCTATGAGTTTAGAAATGAATTACAGTGAAAAAAACGTAAAAAACACAAACATATGGAGGCTAAACAATACATTACTAAATAACCAAGAGATCACTGAAGAAATCAAAGAGGAAATCAAAAAATACCTACAGACAAATGACAATGAAAACACGACAATACAAAACCTATGGGATGCAGCAAAACCAGTTCTAGGAGGGAAGTTTATAGCTATACAAGCCTACTTCAAGAAACAAGAAAAATCTCAAATAAACAATCTAACCTTACACCTAAAGGAACTAGAGAAAGAAGAACAAACAAAACCCAAAGTTACTGGAAGGAAAGAAATCAAAAAGATCAGAGCAGAAATAAATGAAATAGAAACAAAGAAAACAATAGCAAAGATCAATAAAACTAAAAGCTGGTTCTTTGAGAAGATAAACAAAACTGATAAACCATTACCAGACTCATCAAGAAAAAGAGGGAGAGGACTCAAATCAGTAAAATTAGAAATGAAAGAGGAGAAGTTACAACAGACAGCACAGACATACAAAGCATCCTAAGAGATGACTACAAGCAACTCTATGCCAATAAAATGGACAACCTGGAAGAAATGGACAAGTTCTTAGAAAGGTATAACCTTCCAAGACTGAACCAGGAAGAAAGAGAAAATACGAACAGACCAATCACAAGTAATGAAATTGAAACTGTGATTAAAAATCTTCCAACAAACAAAAGTCCAGGACCAGATGGCTTCACAGGTGAATTCTATCAAACATTTAGAGAAGAGCTAACACCCATCCTTCTCAAACTCTTCCAAAAACTGTGGAGGAATGAACACTCCCAAACTCATTCTATAAGGCCACCATCACCCTGATACCAAAACCAGACAAAGATACTACAGAAAAGGAAAATGACAGACCAATATCACTGATGAATATAGATGCAAAAATCCTCAACAAAATACTAGCAAACAGAATCCAACAACACATTAGAAGGATCATACACCATGATCAAGTGGGATTTATACCAGAGATGCAAGGATTCTTCAATATATACAAATCAATCAATGTGATACACCATATTAACAAATTGAAGAATAAAAACCACATGATCATCTCAATAGATGCAGAAAAAGCTTTTGACAAAATTCAACACCCATGTATGATAAAAACCCTCCAGAAAGTAGGCATAGAAGGAACTTACTTCAACATAATAAAGTCCGTATATGACAAGCCCACAGCAAACATCATTCTCAATGGTGAAAAACTGAAAGCATTTCCTCTAACATCAGGAACAAGACAAGGATGTCCACCCTCACCACTATTATTCAACATAGTTTTGGAAGTCCTAGCCACAGCAATCAGAGAAGAAAAAGAAATAAAAGGAATACATATTGGAAAACAAGTAAAACCGTCACCATTTGCAGATGACATGATATTATACATAGAGAATCCTAAAGATGCCACCAGAAAACTACTAGAGCTAATCAATGAATTTGGTAAAGCTGCAGGATACAAAATTATTGCACAGAAATCTCTTGCATTCCTATACACTAATGATGAAAAATCTGAAAGAGAAATTAAGGAAACACTCCCATTTACCCCTGCAACAAAAAGAATAAAATACCTAGGAATAAACCTACCTAGGGAGACAAAAGACCTGTATGCAGAAAACTATAAGACACTGATGAAAGAAATTAAAGATGATACCAGCAGATGGAGAGATATACCATGTTCTTGGATTGGAAGAATCAATATTGTGAAAATGACTATACTACCCAAAGCAATCTACAGAATCAATGCAATCCCTATCAAATTACCAATGGCATTTTTTACAGAACTAGAACAAAATATCTTAAAATTTGTATGGAGACACAAAAGACCCCGAATAGCCAAAGCAGTCTTGAGGGAAAAAAATGGAGCTGGAGGAATCAGACTCCCTGACTTCAGACTATACTACAAAGCTACAGTAATCAAGACAATATGGAACTGGCACAAAAACAGAAACACATATCAATGGAACAAGGTAGAAAGCCCAGAGATAAACCCACGCACCTATGGTAAACTAATCTATGGCAATGGATATACAAGGGAGAAAAGACAGTCTCTTCAATAAGTGGTGCTGGGAAAATTGGACAGCTACATGTAAAAGAATGAAATTGGAACACTCCCTAACACCATACACAAAAATAAACTCAAAATGGATTAGAGACCTAAATGTAAGACTGGACACTATAAAACTCTTAGAGGAAAACATAGGAAGAACACTCTTTGACATAAATCACAGCAAGATCTTTTTTGATCCACCTCCTTGAGTAATGGAAATAAAAACAAAAATCAACAAATGGGACCTAATGAAACTTCAAAGATTTTGCACAGCAAAGGAAACCATAAACAAGATGAAAAGACAAGCCTCAAAATGGGAGAAAATAGGGCTTCCCTGGTGGCGCAGTGGTTGAGAGTCTGCCTGCCGATACAGGGGACACGGGTTCGTGTCCCGGTCCGGGAAGATCCCACATGCCGCAGAGCGGCTGGACCCGTGAGCCATGGCCGCTGAGCCTGCGTGTCTGGAGCCTGTGCTCCACAACGGGAGAGGCCACAGCAGTGAGAGGCCTGCGTACCACACACACACACACACAAAAAAAATAGTAAAAAAAAAAAAAATTTTTTTTGAAAATATGTGCAAACGAATCAACAAAGGATTAATCTCCAAAATATATAAACAGCTCATGCAGCTCAATATTACAAAGCAAACAACCCAATCCAAAAATGGGCAGAAGACCTAAATAGACATTTCTCCAAAGAAGACATACAGATGGCCAGGAGGCACATGAAAAGCTGCTCAACATCACTAATTATTAGAGAAACACAAAGCAAAACTACAGTGAGGTATCACCTCACACCAGTTAGAATGGGCATCATCAGAAAATCTACAAACAACAAATGCTGGAGAGGGTGTGGAGAAAAGGGAACCCTCTTGCTCTGTTGGTGGGAATGTAAATTGATAGAGCCACTATGGAGAACAGTATGTAGGTTCCTCAAAAAACTAAAAATAGAATTACCATATGATCTGGCAATCCCAATACTGGGCATATACCCAGAGAAAACCATAATTCAAAAAGACACATGCACCCCAGTGTTCATTGCAGCACTATTTACAATAGTCAGGTCATGGAAGCAACCTAAATGCCCATCGACAGACAAGTGGATAAAGAAGTTGTGGTACATATATACAATGGAATATTACTCAGCCATAAAAAGGAATGAAATTGGGTCATTTCTTGAGACGTAGATGGATCTAGAGACTGTCATACACAGTGAAGTAAGTCAGGAAGAGAAAAACAAATATCGTATATTAATGCATATATGTGGGACCTAGAAAAATGGTACAGATGAACCAGTTTGCAGGGCAGAAATTGAGACACAGACACAGAGAACAAACGTATGGACACCAAGGGGGGGAAGTGGCGGGGGGTGGGGGTGGGATGAATTGGGAGATTGGGATTGATATGTATACACTGATGTGTATAAAATGCATGACTAATAAGAACCTGCTGTATAAAAAAAAAATAAAATTAAATTAAAAAAATGATGTAGGGAAATGAGCAGTAAAAAAAAAAAAAAAGAATATATAAATTAAAAACATGATTTACATTTTACAGCAAGGATTTAGCATTATCTCAAAAAGGTATAACTATACTGGATATACCTGATAAGGAAGAAAGTTAATTTAGATAACACATAAAGTAAAAATAATCATTATAATTAACACTCAAAGTTTATACAGTGTTTAATTGCTGTTGGGCATTTAGAAGTTCCTATTGTATGTATTCTTTTGTTTTATACATGCATTCTGTCTTCCCTATTAGATTATAAACTTCTTGACACTGAAAGCCATTTTCTTTTATCTCCCACAATATTAAATAATGTTCATTATGCAATGGACATTTAAAACATGGTGAGTGTCTTTGTACTTGACACCTGAAAATGAATTTTACACTACTTTAGAGGGCAATAGAAGAAAGTGATATTCAAAGTGAATAAAATAATTTCCTTCCTCCTTCCCCTGCACTAAATGAAACTCTAGTTTTCATTTTTATCTTCTGCCAACTACCCAAGTGTGAATAACCCAGTTTGTCAGTCAGTTGTTCTTTCAAGTGGAAATGGTGTTCTATGAAAAAGAGGCTCACAACTCAAACAACCTCGCAAGTTGTTTTTCTTAAGACAACCATCATAGATGTGCGTGCTTTATGCGTCCTTCTCATCATCGCCTCACACAGGATATTAAAGCCAAGCATATTCTTGTTAAAAACAGAGTTGCCATATGATCCAGCAATCCCACTCCTGGGCATATACCTGGAGAAAGCTCTAATTCGAAAAGATACATGCACCCCAATGTTCATAGCAACACTATTTACAATAGCCAAGGCATGGAAGCAACCTAAATGTCCACTGACAGATGTATGTATGAAGAAGTGTGGTATACATATACAATGGAATATTACTCAGCCATCAACAAGAATGAAATAATGACATTTGCAGCAACATGGCTGGGCCTAGAGATTATGATAGTAAGTGAAGTAAGTCAGAAAAAGAAAGACAAAAACCATATGATATCACTTATATGTGGAATCTAAAATATGATACAAATGAACTTATTTACAAAACAGAAACAGACTCAGAGACATAGAAAACAAACATGGTTACCAAAGGGGAAAGGGGATGGGGAGGGATAAATTAAGAGTTTGGGATCAGCAGGTACAAACTACTATAAATAAAATAGATAAACAACAAGGACCTACTGTATAGCACAGGGAGCTATATTCAACATCCTGTAATAAACCAGAATGGAAAAGAACATGAAAAAGTATATATATGTATATATAAAACTAAATCACTTTGCTGTACACCAGATACACAACATTATAAGTAATTATACTTCAATAGAATTTTTTTTAAAAATTAAAATTAAAGTAGGGCTTTCCTCCTTCTCACTCTCTCTCACATTGCCATGTTTATTTTCCATCTCCTAACTTCATTCCTTGACTAGACTGCAACCTCCAGCACCTAGTAAATACATACCTCCAGCACAAAAGTAAATATATTCAAAACTCTACTAAATGAACAGCTGACCCTAGGCCTCCATGGTGCTCAACTGAGGTTAACTGGAGCAATAGTTTCAAACAGTACATTTAATGGAAAACACAGAGAATCTGGCGCCAGCTGGCTTAGGTTTGCGTGTTATCCTGTAACTCACTAGCTGTGTGACTCAGCTAAACTGGCTTTCGTGCCCAGAAGTTTAAATTGATAAAATAGGGAGACCCAAACTTTCTATCTCAAAGAAGTATAGGGACGAACAAATGAAATAACACGTAAGCAGAAGCTTGGTGAAATGCAAAACGCTGTAACCAGGCCTTATTTGAACGGGGTGGGTAAAAGAAACGGCAGTAACTGTCAAGGGAGCCAAGAGAAGGAAACAGCTTGGATGCTAGGACCTTTCCGAGGAGCGGCAGCTCTCCCTGGAGTCTAGAGCGTTTAGTTGTCGGTCCCACCATCGCTACTCTGGTCCTCGGGCCCTTCCCTCCATCCCATGCAGGTGACGCGGCCTACAGCGTCCTCCTGCCCTTCCTCCCCATCCGCGCCGGATGCCATGAACTACTCACCTCGCAGGCCGCACCATGGTCCCCTCCAAGGCTGGAAACCTGCAGCTCGCAGCCTCCTGTCGGCAGCGGCGGCGGCGGCCGTTCCAATTCCCGCGCAAAACCAGACTCGAAGCTCTCCGCCCCGCCGCCAGTCCTCCAATCCTCTCCGGCCATCCCCGCGGGCGCGCATGCGCTCTGAGAAGCGCGCGTTAGTTCACGCCCCCTCCAAGCACCGCCCTTCCGCATCCGGTCTGCCAGAGCCGAGCCGGTGCTTCGCCGCTGCACTTTCGTCACTTCTGCGCCGTCTCTGAAATGGACAATAACAGTAGAAATACACCTTCTTACACTTTTTAAATGATTCAACTCAGGTATTATGGAACAAGGGGACACTTAGACCGAGGAATTTTACACGGGGTGCCGGGAAAGAGGAAAAGATGCGGACGAATCTGCCGGAGCTGATCTTCGGGCTGTAAAAACAAGGCGGCAGTCAGCTGACGGTTCCTGCACCGCGGCTGGTTGACAGCGACGGGAGTGAGGACAGCAGGAGACTCGGTACAAGGGGAGGTGAGCCCGCGACCCGAGCGAGGAAACCCCCTCAGACCGAAACCCTCTAACCGGGGGCTGTTCCCCTCACTCGGCCGTGGCTTCTCGGCCCTTTGTCTGCCCTCCCTTCCCTGACTCATTTAAGCCTCAGAACCTCTACTCGACTGGCTGCATGAGTTCGGTTCAGCTCTCCTCCTCGCATCCCATAATTGTACGGAAACCTTGCTTGATTTCAGCCCTGCTGTTAATAACAGATCGGGGAGAGAGAGCTAAAGTATCAGTTTGTTGAAACACAATAAGGCTAAAGGTTGAACCAACTGAAACCAGAGCTGATGGTTTTTGTTTGCCGAAAATTATGACTCGAAACAAGATGAGACCATGAGCCCCTATTTCCGTAATTTTCAATTCCCTGCAAAATGTTTTTTTACTGTCTTTGCCTGCATCATGTGTGCTCATTTAGCAGCCTTTGATTTTTTTTTAATTGATATGTTCTTCTAGAGCTTCCTGTTATTGTTTATTATTTTTACCAGCTTCCATTTGTTGGTCATCTTAAGTTTGTCGGATGCTTCCGTATTTATTATATGATTAAGCCTGATGACAGTCCTACAAGTTAAAAGGTTTCCTGGGGCCTAGCTCAGCTGAGATGTGGCCAAGGAAAGAAGGGCAGTAAGCGTGTGCTAGGCAAAGGAAAAACATTCAGAAAGGTTGGGAGTGGAAAGAGAGGTTTGGTATTGAAAGAAGTTTAGTATGGCTGGAAAATAAAGTTTTTGGATTTGTGTGTTGGAGAGGACGGGGTGCAGGTGCTGAAATAAGAGTTTGGAGGTATAAGCAGGGGCGTGGTAAGCTCCGCTAACGAGTTTGTATTGTATCCTGAGTCCTACAAGGAATGTCATAGAAAGATTTTAAGCAGATGAGCAACATGGTCAGATACGCACTTGAAAACGATTGCTGTGACTTCAATGTAGAGAATAGTGTGAGAACTGATTTGATGGGGAAGTGCCTGGGGACAGGAGTCCAGTTAGGAGGCTAATAAGTAAATCTTCAGTTGTATTCTTTTTGACTAGATTTTCTTCTTTATGAATAGTGTCCACTTTGCCTTGTGGGCTGTCCTGTACTTTCCACTTTCTGTGTATCTTTTTCCTTCATGGAAATCTTTCCAGCACCATCTCCCTTCTCTCCACCCCCAATCAGATCTCATACCCACCACCTCTAAGCTCTTCAAGATGAATTGTTGGTCCCTGATCTGTTTCTTTGACTTTGTATTCACCAGCTGTTTCATGAACTGTATCCACCCACCATGCGTCTGTTCCTAAGAATCCTCTCTGTTCTTCTCTCCATGATCCTTACCTGTTCCTGAGAACTCTGCCTAGGAATGCTAAGTATTTTGTGGGCATAATTTTTTTCTTAAATGAAGTTTAGAAGAACCTTTTCCTTAAAAAAAAGAAGCATTTTGTTTTCATCATGAAGATGAAAATGCAGGGATAAACGTAGGGAAATAGAATAATCAGCTCAGAGTCACACAAATAAAACCTCTGAGTGGGGGAACATCTTAGAAGCGGAACAGCAATAATGACACATCATGGTTTTTTAAATGGACTTATAACCCGCTGAGGTTTTTTTGTTGTTGTTAGTGCTATAGAAATCCTGCCAAAGAAGATGAAGAAAAACAGAGAAAGGTTCTGCAACAGAGAGAGGGAATTTGTGTATGAATTCAAAGCGGGAAATCAGTGCTTAGAACTGAGGGTGCCTCTCAAATTTCCTGTTCAAGAGAATGCCAGTCATCTACATGGCCGTCTGATGCTGCTGCACAGTTTACCGTGCTTTATAGAAAAAGGTGAGGATTGGTTTCTTTTAAAATATCACTTCGTTATTTTCCTATAGTCTCTGTCATTAGAAGTTTCATATTAGAAAACATAAACCTAAGAAGCATTGGAAACAACCACAAAATGTGAAGCTTTCAAGAATAAAAAGGTTCCCCAGACCTTTGTTTTATGGAGTGTTTTTTTCTGTATCCCTTGTAATTGTTTATTAGGCATTTTAGTATAAAAATTAAATTTAAATTAAATATGAAAAATTACAGAGTCTGGATTAGAACTCTTAACCTCTTAATGTAGTTGGATGGATTCATAAGGCGTGTCAGCTGTCACTAGCTATGTGCTAAATGCGTTGCCCTTTTAATGATTCGGTCCTCAATTCCTGAGATGTCATGGGAGAGAAGGGGTACCTGTCTTTCAATAATCTTTGCTCACCTAAATTAATTCCATAAAGTCATTAATAAAGTGTGTATTAAACCATGTTAAAAGGTCTGTGTTCTGTCTACAGATGAGGGAAAATGTTTTAATTGAGAATATGTTGGATCATAGAAGGTCGAAGTTACAAGGGAACGTAGAAACTTTCCAGCACAATCTCACTGTACAAATAAGGAAACTGGTACCTAGAAAGGTTAAATTATTTGCCCAACGCAATGATTCTCAAAAATTGTTCCCTGATCAGCAGCTACAGTATCACTTGAGAACTTGTGAGAAATGTGGATTATTGGGCAGGCTCCACCCAATTCCCTTTGAATCAGGAACTCTGGGAGTGCATGCAGCAGTCTGCTCCAGTAAGCTCTTCAGGGAACTCTGATGCATCGTAACGACTGAGAACCTCTGGTCCAGAGTTATATAATGACAGAGCCAAGACCAGAACCCAGGTGTCCTGGTTTCTATGCCAGTGCTCTTCAATCAGTCTTTTTTTTTTTTTAAAGTGACATAAAGCAACAAATATGTATTATCTTGTCCTTACCGTTACTGTCGTTTCAGGGATGCAGGTGCAACCTAGCCGGGTGCCTCTGACTCAGGGTTTCTCATGGGGTTGCAGCCATACCATCAGTCAGGGCTACAGTCTCATCTGAAGGCTCTACCGACTGAGGATTGTTTCCAAGATCCCTTGTGAGGTTGTTGTCAAGCCTTGTCACGTGGGCCTCTTCATAGGGTCACCTCAGGACCTGCAGCTGGCCTCCACCAGGGCCAGCAACCTAAGAGAGTGAGGGAGCAAGTGCCCAAGATGAAAGCTATGGTCTTCTCATATCCTCAAAGCAGTCTCTGAATAGTGTCTCTAAAGTTGGAATTGTACATCATCTGAAATAAATCAGTTTTAATATGCTAATCACTCAATTTCTCTCTCAGATTCAAAGACTGTAACAATATATACCCTTGAAAGTTAAATAGGAAACTCATTTAAATACAGAAACCTTTAGCCGCTCTAAATCTGTAGGAGGTCTTTATGTGCTTTTCCCTACTCACTTTCAGGTAAAGAATCAGGCTTAAGAAATTAACATTTAAAAATCTTTTTAAGATTTTTTTTTGATGTGGACCATTTTTAAAGTCTTATTGAATTTGTTACATTATTGCTTCTGTTTTATGTTTTGGTTTTTTGGCCGTGAGTAATGTGGGATCTTAGCTCCCCGACCAGGGATTAACCCACACCCCCTGCATTGGAAGGCTTAACCACTGGACGGCCAGGGAAGTCCCAACATTTTAAATTAGTATCAGGGTTGTGTATCAGAGTTAAGAATTTTGACCATTCAATAACCTGTGATTGTAAAGAAGAATAATTGTGAGATTAGTTAAATGATCCCCTAAGCTGATTTTATTTTAGTTAGACATTCTCTTAAGGGTTAAGGGTATTCTCATTGTCTCATTCTGTTAAGACACTATTTTAGTTAGACATTCTGTTAAGCATGATAAAATAAAGTTTGACATTGGAATGCTTAGCCAGGTAAAATGTTCCCTCTTTATGTGTACTGACAATGGTATTTGTTGTCCCTGTTACAGACTTAAAAGAAGCTCTGAGCCAGTTTATCGAAGAAGAATCCCTCAAAGATTATGACAGAGATGCTGAAGCAGCCCTGGAAGCTGTGAAGTCAGGTGAAGTAGATTTACATCAGCTGGCAAGTACATGGGCCAAAGCTTATGCGGAGGTAAAAAAATAGACCACATTGTAAATTTTGAGGATATTCTGAACTTTGATGAAGATTTCTTTCCTTACAGCTTTATTGAGATGTAGCTGACGTGCGACATTGTGTAAGCTTAAGGCATACGGCATAGTGCTTTGATTTACACACATCACGAAGTGATTATCACGAACTTAGTGAACATCCATCCTCTCACATAGATACAAAATTAAAGAAATAGAAAATGAAATACTTTTTTTGTGTGGAGAACGCTTAGGATTTACTCTCAACAACTTTCATATATACCCTAAGGCAGTGTTAATTATATTTATTACATTGTACATTACATGCCTAGTACTTATTATAACTGGAAGTTTGCATCTTTTGATTGCAGTCGTCCAATTTCCCCTTCCCCCATCCCCAGCCTCAGTTAACTGCAAATCTGATCCCTTTTCCTGTGATTTTGTTTGTTTGTTTTTAAAGTATAGTGATGGAGGAGACAGAGAAGTCCAGATGGGCCTGGATGTGGAGTAGTTTCTCCACAGGCCCTTACTCAGTGCCCATTCCTCTCAGCTGTCACAGTCCCCTTTTTAGGGTCACCTCTCCTGAGGGAATATGGCGCGAGTTAGGTCAAATAAGAACTCCGTTCAGTGCTTCTCGTGTAGGTAGCTTCTGCCTATTCACAAGGCTCACTCTAGGCTGGGTTTTAAATTGATGCTGAAAATTATGTAGTGAGCAGACCTGGTTCATGGGGTTTCCAAATGTCTGGTGTTACGTAGGGCCAGGCAGATCCCTGTGATTTGGCCCTGGCTCCTTCCTGCAAAACTTCAGCCCGAGCCTGCTGTGAATTTGGAACAAGGCTTAAGTCACATGGGCTGGTTATAATTTCTAGAGCAGTGCCGGGGTCTAGAGATGTAGAGCAGTTATGAGAATGCGGGTTCAGGTTTTCAGAGGCATGGGGTAGATGAAATCCGCCTTCAAGATTCAGCTGGTCTTCTGAAACTCTTCTCTCCTGATCTGGCAGCCAATCGAAGTATAAGTGAAAGGAAACAAGGGGAAAAGTTTACCCTGTTGACCCAGTTCAAAATACCTGTTTCTGTCATTTATCCATTTGTTTTATTTAAGGTAAATTATTGCTTAGTCCTGTCATAGATTCCAGTTTTTGACATTTTCACTTTGAAAAGGGAAGAATTTAGATGATTCTTTTTTATAGATGTCTGTCTGCAAAGATCAATAATAGAAAAAATATTTCCACTTTTGCCTTTAAATTGTATGACCTTTGACAGGGGGCTTCCCAGCATGCCAGTTTCCTCCCCTGGAGAGCACTGTGTGTGTCAGATGTGCTGGCATGGCGCACGTCTGGGGACAGGCATCTGTCCCCTGGATGGATTTGTGTGTGTGCTTGGGGTATCTCCATTCTGCCTCTCTGCATGTTTCTCTTTTTCTTGTTTATTGGTGTTTACTCAGCCCCTTTATCATTTTGATAGCTACTGTTTTCATGCACTTTAAAACATGCTTATATTTTATAAAGAAAACAATACTTGCAAAGTTCAGAGTAAGAAAATTGCAAATGTACATCTTGATATAAAATCCTGTGCATGAACTGGGTTTTCAAGGTCAGTGTTATTGCATAGGTAACCTCATTCTCTAAATATACAGCCTACAGAACCTTTCGTAGCAATATATTTTTAATAATGGAAAGCCTCTTCTGATTATATAATTAATATATGCAAGTTATTCTGTTATGCAGCACCTTAGAATACAAAGTAAAGGTCTTCAGAAGTCCCACTCTGCCAAAACAGCCCCTTTGAGCGTGTTTGGGTTTCACAGAAATGGGATCTCAGCCTACTCACCATTTTTTTTTTTTCTTTTTTTATTGTGGGCACTTCCTATCTCTTCCTCCACATTAACGCCTTCCCCTTACCCCTGCCTCCAGGTAACCCACATTAACAACTTAGTTGACATCTTTCTGTATTTTTTTTGTATATTCAGATAATCCTATGTAACCTATATACACATATATAGATGAAGGGTCTTTCTGTCCTTTGATGTACAGAAATGGAATCATAATATATGCACTTCTCTAGTAGCATGTTAAATAAAAATACTACATCAGGATTTAAGACTGTTCGTGTCTCATCTCGTAGACCACATTAGAGCATGCAAGACCCGAGGAGCCCAGCTGGGATGAAGATTTCGCAGACGTGTACCATGACCTAATCCATTCTCCTGCCTCTGAAACTCTCCTAAATTTGGAACACAATTACTTTGTTAGTATCTCAGAACTGATTGGCGAAAGAGATGTGGAGCTGAAAAAATTACGAGAGAGGTATTTCAGAGTTCTTGCATTATCATAATTAAATGTTACGTCATCAAATGTTGATGGGCTGCAGAACAGCTTGTTCTCATTTTGTTATAAAATGGAAGAATAGAATAAAAAGAATCTTTAACCTTAGAAATTAATTTTCTTATGCGTTTAAATCTGTCATTTCATCTGGGAAGATGAGGTCCTCATAGGTTTATAGAACTTCTCCAGTGATCTACCTAAACAATTACGGTGGTCTTATCTATTCTTAGTTCTAATAAAAGGAATAGCTCACCTCTTTTGAAGGTCTGCTTTGTTCCAGGCACTGTGCAAAGTGCTTTGGATGCTGTCTTAGTTCAGGCTGCTGTTGAAAAAAAAATACCACAGACTGGGTGGCTTAAACAACAGAAATTGATTTCTCACCGTCTGGAGGCTGGGTAGTCCAAGATCAAGGTGCCAGCAGACTCCGTGTCTGCTGAGGACCCGCTGCCTGGCTTGCAGACCGTGCCTTCTTAATGTCACTCACATGGCGTTTCCTCAGTGCGGGCTCCTGGTGTGTTGCTCGTAGACAGACAGCTGTATCACCTCTTCTTCTAGGTACTAATTCCATCAGGATGGCTCCAACCTCTTCAGCTCACCTAAACCTACTTACCTCCCAAAGGCCCCACCTCCGGATACCATCACATTGAGGGTTAGGGTTTCAACATATGAATTCTGGGGAGATACAAACATGCAGTCCATAACCGATGCCCTGTCTCACTTGATCTCTTAGCACAATCCTACTGTTATCATCCCCATTTTACTGAGCCAAAAATTTGATTTTCTTCTAGTTCTTTATTATGTAGACAATAATATTGTGAACATACTTTAAGAATGAAATAGAGATTAGATTTTTTTAAATATGTAAGGGTATAATTACCTAACAATAATGAATTACCTTCTGTTGAACTACGTCTGTTTGATTTTTCCTACCAGGGCTTCAAATAATATAATCTTCATCTCATTCTGAATCTGTCCTTGGATCTCAGGTTTTCTGGGACTGCACTCATTCTGCCCATCTAGGTGTATTAGAAAATGCCCAGCCTGGCTCTCTGTAGTTCATGTCAGTAGCCATCACTCCTGCTTTCATTCAGCTGGTGAGCTGCTCTAAACTGTGGTCGACTTTGCTGCCTGCTCACTCCACCTCCCAGAAAATTTCATCTCTGGCCATCATTATTCTACAATTGTTTTTTTTCTAAAATGGAAGAAGATTCTCATTCCCCAAAACTCTTCAGTTTTGGGGAATCTGAACTAACTTACTAATTATCTGCATTTACTGGTACTTCATATACATTTTCTGTCGTGGAACGGTTTTTCATCAGGGGTTTGTTTTGGTTTACGTTATTTTTTGAAATGTCCTTTGGCCAGACTTCTTGATGGGGCTTTGCTTTTTCCCACCTAAACGTCTAAACGTTATCTGAATACATTTATTTTAAGAACAGTTTTATAGTTTCTTTTTCACAAGTCCAAACTGGTAGCTTAAAAAATAAAAATAAGGTATGTTCCCTTTAAGGTAGGTAATATTTTTTGCAAAGGTGAACAGTAACTAATGGTGAGTTGGAATTCATTGATGGAAGTTCACCCACAATTTTGGTGCTTAATTCATTTATCTAATTCATGAGCAGAAGTGACACCTTTTCTCATTTCTCCTTTCGTTTTAATTCCATTTTACATCTTTAAAATAACTTTTCTCAGTATAGCATCAATAGTTATAATGATCTTCTTCCCTAAGTTTGTTCGAGATAATATACAAGTTGTCAGAATCACCCCACCAGACACACTGAGCCAATAGATAGTATTTCATCTGAAAAATAATAAAATTTTCTTTGCTCTTAATCATAGAAAAAATATATTGTATCATTAACTACTTGCACTTCTAAAACATTTAGGGTGAAATAGATGTTCGTGAAATTTTATTTGTTGAATTTTTATTTATTGGTCTTCTTTTTCCTCACTGGAAATTTGCTTCTTTTAGCAAATCAGATTCAAGATATTTCTTTGAAACTTAAAAGTGGCAATGATACTCTTTATCCACTAGAGGGAACATGTGTAATATAAAATATTAATATATTTGTATCGAAGTTTATATTTATTAATGCTTAGTAGTTATTTCTGTTTTAAATAACAATCTTACTTGCAAGCACATCCTTCACCTGACCTCTAGTAGTTATTAAAAAATTAATGGGGTCACCTGCCCACTTATAGTTAAGTAGGAATTAAGTGATATTGAATATTTAATACTAGAAGGTATACATAGAAATGTATAGGAGTATAAGATATGAATGAGTTTCATTTATCATATACATGTAAGTATCTTAATCAGTTGTTATAAATAAGTATAAGTTCTCTTTTAAGAGCAATTTACTTAAATTGACTAGAATGATAGTAAAATCCTTTTAGTTCATGTCTGTGTTTCGTTGTTTACAAGTTTGTTTGAAATATGTTTCAGAACAAATTTTTAAAATACATTTTTATTAGAAGATAATTTTAATGAACTTACTAAAATATAATACACATACAGAAAAGGCAATAAACAATAGGTATACAGCTCCGTACATTTTCACAAAGTAAGTGCACCCATGTGCTCATCTCCCAGATCAAGAAATGATTTCCAGCCCTACAGAAGGCTCCCTCCTGCCCATCCGGCAGTCACCACCCATTTCCCCCGTAAATAACCATTATCTGAACTTCTAACACCACTGATTAGTTTTTCCCGTAGAGAAAACCATTCTTAATTTCTGCATGTTTATTTGGATAAATGAAGAAGGCTAAAATGTATCTTCAGAATGTATTTCATATTCCTCTAAAAAGGGAACCCTGTGACTTAATACCAGCTTGATTCTTAGAACCTAACTGGCAGCTTCTGGTTATAATATAAAGTACCTTTTGAAGGTTGAAGTCACTTTAACTCATGTTCAAATAAAAAGAAAATGTATTTAAGCTGGAATTGCAGAGTATCTTCTTAGTGTAAATCTGCAGCCTCTTAAATATTAGCCATGGACGTTGAAAGATCACCTAGATTTTGAATGCTTTCATTTGTGCACTAAACTTAGATTCCAATTTAGCTGCACAAATGACGTTGTTGATATTATATGACATTATCATCATTATTTCCACATCTCCATTGGCAAGGCTTCAAAGTGCCTTCCAGGTAATATAGTTGCCCTAACTGGACATAGTCCTAGAAAACAAAAATTTTCTTTTGACTTTGTAGAGGTTGTTCAATAAATCCAGAGTGGTTGTATTAAAAATTTGATGAATATATCTGATCTGCTTTATTTATGGTTCAGACAAGGCACTGAAATGGAAAAAGTGATGCAGGAACTGGGAAAATCACTGACAGATCAAGATGTAAATTCACTGGCTGCTCAGCATTTCGAATCCCAGCAGGTGAGTGAAGTGTAATGACTTTTGGATTGCATTTTCCACTTATTTATTTTTGTAAAAGAAGTAGTTAGTCAGTGTACTGTCTCTTTTTAGGACTTGGAAAATAAATGGTCCAATGAATTAAAACAGTCGACTGCCATTCAAAAGCAAGAGTATCAGGAATGGGTGATGAAACTCCATCAAGACCTAAAAAACCCCAAAAACAGCTCTCTCAGGTATTAATCGGGTGTTGTTTTTATTAGATGAAGGTCATTGTCAGTAATAGTTTGTATTTATTGTAAAACTGGACCTTTTTAGTTGTAGATATTTTTAAGTTGCCGGTGAAAATTCAAGACAATTTATACTCCTGTAACACCTTTCATTTTATAGACTTTATGTGGATGATTTGTGGGGTGGGGCGGGTAACTGGCTGTTTTACAGTAGTGATTTCCCTGCTAGAACTTAGCCGTAAATCTTGTGGGTGTGTATACCTAAATACCGCCATCACTGTCTCTTGTTTCCTTAAGTTGGTTTCCTTTCAGTGCAATACACACTGGTCGACTGCACCTTAAATGCCAAGCACTCTTTAAGCAGAAGAGCAAAAAAAAGATAACTGCGCATGTTAGCTTATATTCTAGAGACACTGACCTGTGAATACGACAGCACTGTACAGAATGATGTGTGCAGCAACAGAAGCATGTACCAGGTACCAAAACAGTCTAGAGGACTTTCCATAAGTCACAACTTGTGTGGTGCCTTATGGCCTAAATACATTGTGTTTCATGGGTTGCCCTAGAGGTCGACAGTGCCTGTTCTTTCCTGGCTGTGTACTCACCTTTGAGAATTTCTTCTTTCAAATCCTAAAGTATATCCGATTGGGAATATATTTAGTACAGTATAATAGGCCTATTTCCAGCATCTTCTAGTGTATGCCACAAACATTTAGATATTGCCCTTTATTTGTCTAATGTCATTCTCCCCCACCTGTCTTGCCTTGAAGACAAAAACCATGTCTGTTCTTCTGCCGCTGTATACCCGGTCTTTGTCAAGTGTCTAGGTCTTGACACAGGCATATAAATAAATATTGATGGGATGGGTGTAAACCAGGCAGATGGATGGATTATCATTAAACTATTTACCTGACACAGTCTGTATCATCTCTTATTATAATCTGTCATTTGTGTTGTTGTTTTCCCCAAGCCAACACCTTAGAAATATTTAAACAATTTTTTATAATTAGAAATGGGATAACCTCCTGGACACTAACATATATATACCCCTCATTTCAAGTGAAAATAGTGCTGAACACAATACAAAGGGACAGGTGAGGCGACAGACAGGCTGGGAACACCTGTGTACTATAAGGTCCAATGGTGTTTCTCAAATTGCTGGTTGCAGTCTGCCAGGGACCATGCTGGATCCTCTACTTTCCAATTGGCCTTTTAAAAATGACAATAAAATGGAATGGAATGGAATGGAATGGAACAGAACTGAGTAGAATAGACTAGGGAAAAAAATATCAGCACGTTACTCATGTGTGCATTGAGCCACAATGTGAAATATGTACTCTATAGTGTGGTCAGAAAAGTAGGAAGTCATCAACCTATGGACGCTAAGAAAGCCCCTTGCTACAAAAATTATCTCCTGCTTTGCTACTCTAGTTTCAGAAATTCATTCTATAGGATCAATTCCTTTGTGTAAATACTGGCCTCTAGCTGCTGCTGCTTTAAAAACCATATATTCCTGGGAAAGAGTAACTTCACTGTGACTGGGTTAGCTTGCTTTCCTTTTTGATAGAGATTTCCTTGGGGAGCAGAAACCTGTTTTCAACATAACTATGTATAGAACTCCTGTATGAGATTGATCCATTTAAAAAATTTATTTATTTGTTTACTTATTTTTTTAACATCTTTGTTGGAGTATAATTGCTTTACAGTGGTGTGTTAGTTGCTGCTGTATAACAGAGTGAATCAGCTATACATACACATATATCCCCATATCTCCTCCCTCTTGTGTCTCCCTCCCACCCTCCCTACCCCACCCCTCTAGGTGATCACAGAGCACCTAGCTGATCTCCCTGTGCTATGCAGCTGCTTCCCACTGGCTATCTGTTTTACATTTGGTAGTGTATATATGTCCGTTTTTGCCCTTTTGTTTAAAGTCAGGTCTATTGAAGGATAAATTACATATAGTAAAAGTCACTTGTTTTAGGTTTACATTTTGATGAGTTTTGACAAACTTAATTAGTCATGAAACCATCACTGCAATCAAGACATAGCATTTCCTTTCTATACCTTGATATTAACCCCCCTTCCCCTTGCCCAGCTTGTGGCAACCTGCTCTGATTTCTGTCCCTGTAATTTTGATTTTTACGGAATGTCATATAAATGCAATCAAACTGTATGTAGCAGTTTGTGTCTTGCTTCCTTCACTTGACATAACGCTTTTGAGACTCATTCATGTCGTTGCATTTATGAGTGGTTCTTCCCTTTTTATTGCTCTGTTATTCTTTGTTTATCCATTCACTCAGTGGTGGACATTCAAAGTATTTCGGCAATTATAAATAAAGCGGCTATAAACATTCACATACTGGTCTTTCTATAGACATATGTTTATAATTTTCTTATGTAAATACCTAGGAGTGGGATTGCTGGAAATCATGGGAAGTAAAATCCATGGTGTGCTTAATTTTATAAGAAGCTGCTTCTCCAAAGTGGCTGTACCATCTTGCACTCCCAGCACCACTGTGGGAGGGTCCCAGGGGCTCCTCACCCTCATCAGCACCTGGTGTTGATATCTAGCAGTTCTAGTAGGTTCTGTAGTGGTGTCTCATTGTGGTTTTACTTGGCGTTTCCCGGACGGCTACTAACATTGAACATTTTTTCACGTGCTGATCTTCTATCCATACCTCTTCTTTTTTTTTTTTTCCATCATTATTATTGAGTTGTGAAAGTTCTCTATATATTCTGGATACAGGTCTATCATCAGATATGTGTTTTACAAATATTTTCTCTCACCCTGTGGCTTGTTGTTTCATTTTCTTAATGGTTTCTTTTGAAGAGCAAAGTTCTTCATTTTAATTAAGTGCAATTTATCAATTTTTAAATGGTTTGTTTCTTATCTCAGTTATTGCCTAATTCAAGATCACAAAGATTTTCTCCTATGTTTTCTTCTAGAAATTTTATAGTTCCAACTTATACGTGTAACTCATGATGTATTATTTCATATATATTATGTGTAAATTTAAATATATCCACTATAAAATAGTAAATAAATACACCCACTATATATGTGTTGGTCTGTAACGTTGTTTTTCTTATAGTATCCTCATGTGGTTTTGACATCAGGGTAATGGTGGCATCATAAAATGATGGGGGGTCGGCTGATGAGCCTGTCAAAGGAATTGACGTCTGTGATCATCGATCTGATAACATGTTTTATTTCTAGTACTTCCCTCTTTGCCGAAATTCCTTATCTGTCCTTGTGTGTTGTTTTACACTAAATCTTTCAGCATATTAGTCATAGTTATTTGAAAGTCCCTTTCTTTTAGCCCCAGTATCTGGGTCATCTCTAAGCCTGTTTCTGTTGATTGCTTTCTCTCTTGACAGTGGGTTATTTATTTATTTATTTTTGCTTGCTTTTTTGGGTCTTTCCCCCTCTCTGTTTCTCTCTCTCTTTTTTAAACTGAATGCTGGCTGTTGTGTGTATCAGAAAAGAAGAGACTGGGGTCAATAGTACTTATGCCCAGAAATGAGCAGGCCGTTAACGTGAAGGTTATGGAAATTTAGTCAGCAGTCGGGCTGTGTTTGGTTTCTGCTCTTCAGTCCACCATGGGCTTCATTTTCTACAGCAGTGCACTGCTGCCACTTTGTATTGAGAGTGGGGCTTTGGCTTCTAGTCATCCTGCTCCACCCTCAGCTTTCAGTAGCCTTTGCGGGCCTGTGCCACAGCAGGAGGTCCCCGTGTGTGCTGTTGCTCTGCCCACCCGCCAGCAGTAGACTAACGTTGTTGTTACTTGATGCCAGGCTCCTGGTCGGGGGTGGGAGGCGGGTCTCTGTGGTCTTTGTCCAGCTTCAGTCTTAGCCTAAGTCCAGCAGATCTGGGCCTTGGGCTTGGGGCACTCTTAGCACATCTGCCCGTGCCACCGAGTGGGCTGTCTCTTCTCTTGCCCTGCCCCCAAGGTTTTCTTGGAAGCGCCTGGTGGAGGCCAACAGGAAAGAGTTTGCAAGAGCATATGCAAAGTCCCCTGGTGCCTGGAGTTCATAGCTGTTCTAAATGGACATGCTAGCCCATACTTGACCTTCAAGAATTTGTTAAAATTTTAGCTGATTTTTTCTTACCCTCTTACATACATTACAGCAACCTATTTCTACTGTGCTCTGCCCAAACTGAAGACTATCTGTGTGTCCTGTCTCTCCTTCTAAAGCATGTCACACTTTAGAATTTAGTTTCTTGGTTGCCTTGTTACCTCAAATCTCTGATGAGCTCCAGAAAAGTTATGATCTTATAGGTTATCTGGGCTTTTCTTGCTATTAGCATGGGAACATCATTGTGTTGTGGCTTTCTGTGTCCTAAGATGAGGATATTTTATTAATATAAATTTATATGAATTTACTTTGGGGTTTAAATTTGCCATATTTACTAATGAAGTCAACCAGTGATGCTAATGAGACTGTTTGGATTTACCCCAAAAATGTAGTCAGGGGAGTGGATGACTGTTTCAGACTTATACCATCTTCAGCTCACCATGAAATTTGAATTGAACAGTTGTACAGTTCTGGTGCCTCCATGGAAACCTTTTCCGGCAGTGCAAGGGCAGAGTAGAGCAAAGAGAGAAGTCCTTTAATGGGAGACTGTTGGTGGTGAAAAAACAGGAAATGGTAAAACAACAAAAAAAAGAGAGGATATGAATACGTCAAAACGAACTACATCTTTTTTTATTATTTGACATTTTAATTTTTAATTTTCGTTTCTATCACTTCACTTATTTTCTAGTTTCGCCAGCCCTAAGGCTGATACAGGATATATTAAAATGTCATTTTAAACATGTTAATGTTAGTCACTTCATTTAATCATTCTCTTAGGCTACTAAGAAATATTAAATGATGACATATTATTGATATTGTAATGACTAAAAAAATATGCATCACTTACTGAAAGAAATAACCAAAGAAATGAAAGAATAAGTAGGAATTTTACAACCTGTGTTAATGATCTCACTTGTCCCCATGGATAAAGGATAAATTTAGGAATAAATTAAGTGCTACTTTCTGCTGTTTCATCTCATTTAACCGTAAAGCTTTCTTTCCTTTAGGAAACGTTTTTGACAAACATACAAAAAAGAAAAAAAAGCATATCAATAATTTTTTCAATTTCAGTGAGGAAATTAAAGTTCAACCAAGTCAGCTCAGAGAATCCGCTGAAGCAAATGGAAGGATTTATGAGGAACAGAGAAAGTTAGAAGAAAGTTTTACCATTCACTTAGGTAAGTATATTAATTTTTTGCAGTCACAATTTATTGTAACCTGTGAAACTTTTTTTAATGCTGTAAGAGAAAAATCCCTAGCATGTGAGTAGAATATACCCAGGTTCTTTTTATTAAAAATTGTGTTCTGCTCCAAGAAAGCCTATAGTTTATTGGCTATAAGTTTTCTATTTTAGCTCATGTATTATTTCTCTGCAAATAGAAAGATGCAATGTTAATAGTTATTCAAATAGAAAATTGCAAAAGGCCCATTTTAATTATTCATAGCACAGATGTATCTGGATTCTTGCCACAGAGATTTGCCTCCTGCCCAGCTGGCTTTCTGCAGCTGTCTAAGTATCTTTCTGGGCTTGTTGCCTACCCCCAGGAGCCCAGTTGAAGACCATGCATAACCTGAGGTTGCTGAGAGCAGATATGCTGGATTTCTGTAAGCACAAGAGGAGCCACCGAAGTGGTGTGAAGCTCCACCGACTCCAGACAGCACTGTCGCTTTACTCCACGTCCCTCTGTGGCCTGGTGTTGCTAGTGGATAACCGAATCAATTCATATAGTGGTATTAAAAGAGGTAAGTTAACATTATGCATATTTATGCCATTAAAGTTCTCCATTTAATGCCATTCTAAAAAGAAAGGAATTAGTGAAAAACTTTAAAAAAGGCTTGAGTCACCCCGGTATTCAAGTAGACCAAACAGCACACATACCCAGACACTGCCATTTGAGGTTTGTTTCATACTTTAGCAGGCCTAGGGTGCTTCAGGGTGTTTCATTTTTCTTAAAATTCTATCACATTGTAGATAATACTCTTACAGGATCCTTGTTTCAAGGTATAACAAAAAGAATAATCAAGATATAAATGTATTTTTCAAAAAGGAGCAGATCCTGACTCAGTGAATTTTAGTTCATCCATTTATCCTTTTTTTCTTTCTTTTCTTAAATAACCTATTTCTTAAATATGCTAGGTAAAATTCTACTTTCCCTCTTAGTACAATTAATTTTTTATGATTATTTTAAAAATTTTAATATATAAAGTATATTCAAATGTATAACTTTTTAAAAGAAGCTTGAATATAGTTTATTTTCTATTATAAATAAAAGAACCTTATATTTCTTAGCACTTTTGGGGACTGGATTACGATCAAAGTATATATTATTTAAAGAAGGTTTGGACTTATATTAAAATTTCCTTGCCTATTAATTGTTTACTCTTCTGGGCGATTGAGAGATTAAGTTTCTGATCAAAACCAAATTGTTGTCCCCTAACTTGGTAAGACATAATTATTGAAAGGACAAGTATGAGAAGTCGTCCTTGTGAATGCTGTATTCTCTTGCTGCTAGATCTCATTGTCTGTGAGTAAATACTAAATACTTGATACTTCACCTTTAGAAGTTCGTAATTGTGTTGGCTCCCTTAGATTTCGCCACAGTTTGCCAAGAATGCACTGACTTTCATTTTCCCCGAATTGAAGAGCAGCTGGAGGTTGTCCAGCAGGTGGTACTTTACGCCAGAACCCAGCGCAGGAGCAAGCTGAAAGAATCACACGGTCAGTGAAACTCAGATTTTTAGAAATTTCACTTTCAGGATGTTCTGTCCCTAAGCACTCTCCTAGCATATGGGCCATCTGAAGTAGAGAAAGTTGTATCGGTGGGAAGATGCAAGAAAGAAATTAAGAACAAAATTCAGGGTCTTTAGAAGCTTGAATTCTGTTCTTAATTTCCTTGTTTGTGTGATTTTGTTCAAGATCCTTAGAAAAACTGTTTTTAAAATTCAATTCCATAGTTATACTTGAAGTAGGCACTCAGTGGAAAGTTGGTGATCTTTTGATCCAAGTTCTGTATCTCTAAAATGGATATAATTAGTACTATAAAGGACATTGAAATCATAGGGTAAATAGCCCAAAATACACACTTTTTATATGTTCCATCTTTGATCCACTTAGGTAGCACGAAGTCAGTTACAAGAATTGGTTTTGGTTGTTCTTTTAAAAAATTACTACATTTAGAATTATGTCCTGCTTTTTCTATATTTATCCACAATCTGAACATCCTTCTAGGAAATTTACTGGAAGATGATTTTAAAGCTATGGAAGAAGTTCATGGCATTTTTCTTCAGAAGATTTCTATTTATGCATAAGGAGACCTTAGGGAAGACATAAAAGAAAACACTCTGAGTCAAATTATGGAGTAGTTCTGCTATCTTTAATTGAAAAATGAAAGTTTAAAAGGTAGCCTTTTTAAAAATTATATTGGTGCCATAAGTCTGTTTAGTTAGGACCTAAATATAAGGGTAGTATTCATTTAAAAATATACATAGGGTGTGTTTCTCTTATTTTTCTGACATTTCATATTATGTCACAGGCATAGAATTATAATACATGCTCCTATCTGGCTTGAGTGCATACTCAGTGTTTTATTATTTCTTATGGAAACTTGATGTCTTGCGCAGGAAATGAAATACGGCAGGGTTTTAAACGGTTGCTGGTCAGACCTTTAAATCTACTTCTGGTACTTTGGATGTCTGTCTTATTTGTTTGTTTTGCAACTGCAGCGTTTCAAAGAAACCCTTATATACTTTGGGTTCACATGTTTTGTATTTTTGAGTAAACAGAGAGAGAGACTGCTGTATCTTTGCTTGATGTCTTTGTTCTCTATCCCATGAGGAATTCCTCCCATTCTCTTGATGCTAGAATTCTAGAATGCAGCTCTCTAGGCTCAACTAGAGGGCTGTGATTAGCAGTCACGGTAGTTTTCGTGTTCATTCAGTCGATGTAAAAAAAAAAGCGTTTTATTTATATTTTAATCATTTCTAAAATAGGTAAAACAATCTGAAGATTCACAATTCAAACTGTACAAAAGAGCATACAGTGAAAAGTCTTTGTATCTCTGTCCACCAGCCATCCAGTTTCCTGCTCCAGAGGCAGCCAGTGCTGTGTCACATGTACCTTCTGGACGTGTTTATGTGTGTGTGTGTATTTATGTATTTTGCCTTTTCACACAAATGGCAACTTTCTCTGCGCACTTCTCTGTCCTCTGCTTTTTTTCACTGAACAGTTTTTCTTGGACATCATTTCGTATCTGTACAGAAAGAGCATCCTTGGAGCTTTTCACTGCTGGATAGTGTTCCACTGCAGGATATCCCACTAGTGATCAGTTCCCTATTGATAGACATTTTATCTGTTCCCAAGTTTTGCTCTTATAAGTAATAGTGCATGAATAACCGTACACATATATTGTCATGCGTGACTGAGCATATCTATGGAATAGATTTGTGAAGAGAAATTCCTGAGCTAAAGGGCACGTGCATTTGTAATTTTGATAGTGTCAGCAGCTGCCCTCCACAGCGGCCCCACCAGTTTGTATTTCCACTCCGGGTAACCATGGCTTTGTAGTGGCAATGTCTGTCACGTACAACAGAGCCAGGCTGAGCCTTAGGAAATCAGTGTGGCAGTGTATCCCAACGAAGGACCTTTCAGAAAATTACAGTCTGTCCTCTTATTCTTCTGCCATCTCCTTCCTCCGTCTCATTCAGACTAGCAAGGATGTGATCAGACACATTCAACTATTATTCTTAGTAGTAACTAAAAGCATGAAGATTGAGATCATGACAGGTGTGGGAGAAGGCGGAGGACGCAAAGTTTATGAGAGGAAGTTTTTAAACCACGTACGGTTAAGGCAACGTGTGTACATCATGGTAGTATTTTGTTCTTGTTCAAGCAACTATTTTGTGGTTTAAGTGAGTCAGTGAAACAAGTAGGTTTATAAAAGACTACTTTCTTAGAGGAACCCGCGTGTTGTTATAGAAGAGTTTTGCGAAAATACTTTCTCCATCTTTTCCTTTTCTGAGCATGCCCACGTGTTTGTTCTACACGTTTACATCCTGATACGCAAGTACTGTCTATTCTAAGACATTCTATTGTTTTTCTCACTGTGCCTATTATATCAGCATCTTTATATTTCTGTGGTTCATGATAAGCCAAAAGCAATTTCATTTTTTGTACATGTTTTATATACATTAAAAAAATTTAGCCATCTTCTTAGTATTATAAGGTATTACCATTGAAACACGGAAAGGGAGATGGACTAGAAACTGTTCTTTCTTGTTTACTTAGTAGGGATTCTGTCTGTTCATATTCCACGTGAACAAAATGAGAGTCTTCATTTATCGTTTTTGTTTTCTGCACTGTGAGCAGACATTTATTCAAAGCCTATCGATTACATGGGTCTGTATGAGAATCAGACTGTTGCATTACATGTGGATTCTGGCAACACAGAGCCTTCTCTCTATGCCTCTCTCTCCCTCTGTCTATTTATAAAATATATGCATTTACAAGGTATGATGTTGTAAATCAGTTACTCAAAGTAGTCAGTGGGTAAAAATATTTGGTTACTTTTATTCAGAACTTGTTTGAAACCATAAGCCTCCCTTGGTATTTTCAGTTTACTCATTTGAAGTTCTGACTGTTTTCAAGTGATTTTCTGATGTTGAAGGCCATTTCAATATAGTTTTATATTTAATTTGAATAAATATACAGCCTCTTAAAGATAGCTACTTTGAATGCTAATATTCATCCTGCAGTTTTCAGTTCTCATAGAATTCTTATAAAATTCAGATGTATCTTCTATTAAAAATATATGTACATGTATAAAATAATTTGTGTTCTTATATGTGATATATCTTATTTTACCAACATTTATCCCTCAAAGTAATATCATGCCTTCTAAAAAGGAAGAAGAACTATTGAATATCTGAAAAAAAAAAATTCCATTTGAAACAGAATCTCACCTGTCTGTTTGAAAGAAACTGTATACAGTGTTAGATAAGAAGTAACAAATTTCAGGAATGGGCTGAATAGCAGGTGATTCCTGGTGCTGCTAACCATTAGCTGATCGTCCTGAACAAGTTATATCAACAGCAGTGACTCAGATTCTAAAAATAAAGCTGGCCACCCCACAACTGTCTAATGAAGTCATTTTATGTGTAGTTAGCTTAGTGCCCTGAACCTCCCAGATGAAAAATAGGGGATTGGCAAGTCTAAAGTGGTCCAGACCACAGGCTTTGGAATCTGAGTATGTGGGATCGAGACCTGGTTCCACCACTTACCTGTGCCTTCCCCATTAAGTGAATTAACCTCTCTAATCCTCTCTTCTCGTGTATAACGTGAAGAGAGCACTAGTCCCTCATAGGGTTGTGGTTAGAGGGGTTTTGTAAGAATTAAATGAGACCATCCATGTAAAGCATGTATCTGACTGTCACCTGGCACCTAGAGATCCTTAGTAAATTTTTGCTGTTGTTGTGGTTGTTTGGGGAATAATAGTAGTAATGTGTTTTCATATGTTATTGTGTTCTTTCCCGTTGCATAACTACCTTATGAATAGATTCTGGAAACCGAAATGGAGGAAGTGATGATAAGACTAAGAATGCAGATAGAAACTATTTAAACATTCTACCTGGTAAGTATTATTTTACTTTAAACTGCAATTTTCTTAGAATCACATACATTGAAATCATAGATTTGAAACATAAGTGCTTGTGGGGTACCTTATAAAATTTTTGTTGGTCAGTGTATCACTTTAGAACATTGTATCTATCATCTATAAACACACTGTCACAATGGTCTGCAATTAAATCTTTATTCTTATAGTAGCACTGACTTTTCCTGGATCCAAACAAGAAAAATTCCTCAAGCAGTTGCATAAGTCTAATCGTTATTTGCTATTTCAAATGTCCTCTTTTATACGTTGTTTCTTAGTTTCTTAAATGAACCAAAAAATGATTTCTACTATGAAATAAACAATAGTAAGTAGAGGTGTGAACAGTTGAACATGTGGAAAGAACATGGGTCATCTGATTTAGCATCTTTCTTATTGCCATTGCCCCGTAAATTCTCCTGCTTTATTAATTATTATATTGTTTATCAACTGGAAATTCACTCTCTTGATCCTCTTCCAGGCTGAATGCACTCTGATGATCCTTAGTAGTGTAGTGTTTGTATGACAGGGCATAACAGGGAAGGCCTATTTGTAGACGTTATAAGTGTAAAGTCTTTTAAACCAAACAGTAAATGTTGCAGGTTCATACACAACCAAGTTTGTCTCCTCACATGTCCTTCCCCGGATTTTCTGCACATAGGTCGTCACATTCCGTTTATTCCTGGTGCTCATTTTGTCTCCCGGCCAGTTCGCTTGTGGCCATCAGCTTCCGAATATGCTCCCACCTCAGATAGCCCACCTTCGCGGATAATGTTAGTGGTGGATTACATCACCACATGCTGTTTCCTCCACTTTGTGGAACAGGAAACTGTCCTCCACTCCATCTAAAAATACCTCCATTGAGACAGGATTTATTGTATTTCTCTTCGTAGATCCATAATTTAAATCATCTATATTTTGTGGCTTTCTTAAAATGTGCCAATCTTATCTGTTCCGGAGGTACCGACGTCTGACTTTTTTTTAAACTTAACTCTTTACTGCTGTATTTCTGTTCCTTCTTGCTCCTTTTTGGAAAAAGCCTATAGGTTAGTATCTCATTATTACCAGCAAATCAGAAGACTATGTCAGAAGTCCTCCTCAGCAAAGAAGTAGTGACAATTCAGTTAGCTATGCTGATAGCATCTGAATTTCCATTTGGGTAAAGGACGCTGCGTGGCCAGGAAGTGTACAGGAGGTGAGAAAGATCCAAATCACAAAGTGCCTTTAGATTTTGAAGTTGCAAAGAAAAAGTTTGATTTATGTATCTTTTAACCAGTGGGTTTGCTTTATCATTATCTAAGTATTTGTAGTTTATATCATCTAATTCTCAAAACGATTTTCTAAGGAGAGCAGTCAGGCATTATTTTCCCCATTTAATTCACAAAGTACAGAGGATCTGTTAAGTTGTATTGATTTGCCCAAGATCATTCCACCAATAAATGCTAGAGACCAGGTCTTTTTAACACCCAGTCTGGTCCCTTTTCTACCATATTATGTTATTTTGATTACTACTACCAGCTCCGAGACCCCCATCTTACTAACGGATAAAATGAGGCCCAGGACAGGTTATCTGAGGTCAAACGAAGCAGTGCCAGTTTGGGGGTTAGGAGCACCTGACTTGTCCACTCAGTCCTCAGCCTCAGTCCTGGACCGTAGCCCATGTTTAATGCTATGAGTACCACCGTGTGAACCATCAGGAGGAGTTCAAGAGGTGACACGCTTCATTGGATATACTGGGTCTCTGATAAGCAGTCTGCGTCTTTTATTGCCTGCCAGGGAAATTGCTATACTACTCCTCACCGGACAATTTTTTTTTTTTACTTTTCCTTTGTCTGGTTTGTTTAGATCTGTCACTGGCCTTTATCTTTTTTTCTTTTAATATATTTATTTTATTTTTGGCTGCATTGGGTCTTCATTGCTGCGCGCGGGCTTTCTCTAGTTGTGGCGAGCAGGGGCTACCCTTCGTTGCAGTGCGTGGGCTTCTCATTGCCGTGGCTTCTCTTGTTGCAGAGCATGGGCTCTAGGCGCGTGGGCTTCAGTAGTTGTGGCAAGAGGGCTCAGTAGTTGTGGCTCGCGGGCTCTAGAGCGCAGGCTCAGTAGTTGTGGCACACGGGCTTAGTTGCTCTGCGGCATGTGGGATCTTCCCGGACCAGGGCTCGAACCCGTGTCCCCTGCATTGGCAGGCGGATTCTTAACCACTGCACCACCAGGGAAGTCCCTGGCCTTTCTCTTTTACTGCTTATCTAGTTCTTTTATTGTATAAGTTAAAGAAAAAAAAAAAGACCTTTGCCTGGGGCCTTTCAGTGGCATCCATGGGCACAGCTTATGTACACTAGTAATTGGAAATGGTTAAACATTGTGCCAAAGTATATTCAATACTTCAAAAATACTATATGTTTATAAATAAATATAAGTAAAATCCTAAGATAAGGACTTTGAAGCCAGGATGAGCAGAATTTGTGAGGACGTCGGTTAGTGATAGAAGAATAGTTCTTAGAAGAGCAGAGTTTTCCTAGAAGGACATAACAGATTTTCCAGTGAGTCAGGTGTGTTTATAAAAACATATTTTTTAGGGCTTACCTGGTGGCGTGGTGGTTGAGAGTCCGCCTGCCGATGCAGGGGAAATGGGTTTGTGCCCCAGTCCGGGAAGATCCCACGTGCCGCGGAGTGGCTGGGCCCATGAGCCATGGCCGCTGAGCCTGCGCGTCCGGAGCCTGTGCTCCGCAACGGGAGAGGCCACAACGGTGAGAGGCCCACGTACCGCAAAAAAAACCCATTTTTTAAATATATTTTATTTATTTATATTGACAGAAACTGCAGAATATAAAAGCCAATGGCTAGCATGGCTACATAGAAAATAGAGTGATTGTAGAAAGCCTGGATGTTAAGGTTTGATAAAACACTGTGCCGGCATTCAGTCCAAAACATTTGTTTCCCATTCAGTGAACAGATGTTTACTGAGTACCTTCTATGTACCAGGCCCTGCTGTTCCACGTGCCAGAGATAGAACATTAAACAAGAGAGAAAAAAATCCCTACAGTCACGGCGTGTAAACAGTGGTCCCTTTAAAATAACCTCATAAACAAATAACAGAAGAATTTCAGTGCTGAGAAGAACATAGAACAATGTGAAAGAGAATAAGTGAGGTGTGAGGGAATCCTATATCAGTCAGATGGGTCAGTCAAGGAAGACCTCTGGGAGGAGGTGACCTTCACTCTGAGGTGTGCTTGGCGAAAAGCGGTCAGTCGACAAGAATCTTGGGGGGAAAGCTTCTCTCGGGGAGCAGCCCTGGATCGGGAACAAGCCCTGTGTGTCTGAAGATCTTAAGGAGAGTCTGTGTGGCTGAGGCAGGAGCAGAGGGTGAGACAAGAGGACGGAGTTTGGATTTTTTCCTGAGTGTCGTGTGAGTCATGTTAAATGGGAGAGTGATATAATCTGATTTATACTTAAATCGTTTTAACTGCAAATGTGGATGTGGTTTGTAGGTGGGCAAGAATAGGAACAGAGGTTAATTAAGAGGCTATTACAGAAACCTAAGTGAAATGATGGTAGCATGAACTAGGGTGATGGCAATAAAAATGGAATGCTCAGATTTGAGATATTTGAGGTATATGTTGCAGATACACTGAAAATAGCTGGTGGTGAATTGGATCGGGGAAGAGGCAGTGAGAGAAAGAAAGTAATTAAGGGCAACTCCTGGTTTCTGCCCTGTGCAGCTAACGGGAGGGGGACTGGACCCATAAACCGAGATGGAGAGAAGCAGGTTCAGGGTGCAGGGAAGACAGGTCATCAAGTAGCCTGTTTTTACATGTTAAGTTTGAGTTAAGTACGACGTTTTGAGCATTTACATCAAAATAGCGATGATGAGTACTCGTTTGACCTACTTACGAGTAAATAAGCTTGGTGGTCTCTTCATACCAATTTAGGAACCTAAGGTAAATTTGGCCTCTCTTTTCATCACCCGTCTTTCCAAGAATGAAGGAGCACTAATTATATTTGCTTCCTGAGTCCAACACAGGTTCCCGATAACACCTCTGCTGGTTCAGCACATTGGCTGCCACTACAGTTGTTTACGAAGCCCACTGATAAGTGTGACTTATGCATTTGAAAGTCATGATCGTATCTGCTGTTCACAGGAGAATTTTACATTACTCGGCATTCTAATCTCTCAGAAATACATGTTGCTTTCCATCTCTGTGTGGACGACAACGTGAAATCGGGAAACATCACTGCTCGGGACCCTGCCATTATGGGTCTCCGAAACATACTCAAGGTTTGCTGCACCCATGACATCACAACCATAAGTATTCCTCTCCTGCTGGTGCATGATATGTCAGAGGTAAGCAGACAGAAGAATACCAACGTTTTCTGAAAATGTTAAAATATTGTATAATAATAATAATCCACTTTACATTTTAAAAGCTGTTTAACTAATGAGGCTTTGCATCTCCTATCTGCATCTCCTATATGTCATCAATAGAATTGAGTGACATATAACATAAACAGTGAATAATCCTTAACCAAATATGTTCAAAAGAATTCTAGCATTATCCTATAGTAGGTAAACTAGAAAGCCAGACTTCTTTTTAGCTTTGGATAAGGCATGTGCCCCTAATCCTCCCCCTCCTCATCTGTTTTTGTCTTAAGTAGCTTTAGATTCACCTCCACATTTGTATTTGGCTTCGGCTAACATTAAAATTAGTACGCATTAATAGGCAATAGAAAGAGAAGCTAGATGATAGGAAGAAGCCAGCCTCATTTTGACATTGTCTCAAGGATGCTCTTGGTATAATACAAGTACTGGCTTCTATGACCAAAATGTGGCATAATCATTCATTCATTTTATGATGTACTGAACTTTATTTTACATTTTTAATTTAAAAATCTCTTTCCACGGCTGTTTGCTTTCTCTCCTGCTTTCGTCCCTTACCTACATAAAAACCAGTTAGAAGGGATAAGTTGTAGAAATAATACAGAGACTAAAAATTCAACTTCAGATAGTCTGGAGGAGCAAAGCAGCCTCAAAACAAACGGGTGCAGGCAAGTCCTTCTGGGAGAGCCAGTGGCCAACGTGGTGAAGGACCCATGTCAGCAACATGGTGCCTGCTTGTTTTGAGTGGCACTTTTTTAAAAAGCAAAATGGCTAACTGGCGAGTACAGCTTGTGAAAGGAAGGAAGTTTGATCATCGATTATTAAAAGTTGTTTACCAAAATAATAGATGTGTATAAATACTGTATCGTAAAGCGCAGGGTAAAAGATCTGATACTGTACTTTTTAGAGTGAGTCAGTCCCCGGTTAGACTCATCACGTTATAGGACACCTCATTTTAAATGCAATACTCTATATAAACACACACATCAATTCCATATAAGACAGGATGATTTTAAATGGTTTCCCACTTAGAATTCATTTGTATTTTTACCAGACACACTATCGTTTTGATTAAAAGAATCCTGGCTCAGTCAGATGCAAGCTGCATCAAACTTTTTAATTTCTCAGCCTCAGTCATACCTAATAACGGCATTAGGAGAGATTGACCGACATGTTTTGTTTTGTTTTATTTTTCCCACTGTAGCTTTATAAAGTTTTAGTCCCATCAAGAATTTTTAGCCATTGTTAGCGTCACTAACTAGTCCATCTATAAAAGAGTCTTTGGGGAGTGACAAAGAAAGTTTGTGATGAATTCCAGCCACACGGAAACATCCGAACATTCCTGCAGCTGGACTCCTGGTTAACCAGTTTATAAAAATGGTTGTATGTAGGTGGGAAACAACCTCAAAAACAGTGTTTCCAAAAGTCACTAAGTTCGGATTTACTTCCAGACATCTGATACTATAGCGTGCCCTCTCCCACAGTGTCACAAAGGTTACATGTTTTAAATTGGGACAGCCAGCTGCAGAACATTAAGTCTGTTTCCAGAGTGTCCATTTTAATTCATGAAAGTATATTGAGCCACGATCCTCCCATTGGTCGTATTTAAACATCCATTCAGGTCAAGAAGTTTATCCTACAAACTCAGACAACACTGCACAGGATATAGAGGCAGTATTTGTCTTAGCTTTCGTGCAAGGATCCCAAAGCGTTTCGGCTCTTGTTTTCTTCCTGTAACAGACTTGCCAGACTCTCAGTTACCATATTGCAGTGTGTGCAAGGTAATGATGACAGTGTCGGAAACAGTCCATGTCCCAGCGTCGGTAAAAACAGCTGTAGAAATGAATTGCAGTTTAAAAAAACAGGAAAGGAAAAAATAATCTATCGGCAAGGAGGAAGACATCCTGCTCTTACCAGTTTTATCTCTGTAGATCTTTGTGATCTGAAGACACTGTCATCCTGGAGTTCAGTCTAACCTGATAGACGGGGAGTGAACCTGCAGGTCACGAATCCTGAGTTCCTGACCTTTCCTTTTGTTTGTGCTGTTAACTTGTTGAATCATTTGGGACTGAAGGGTTTTAGTTGTTATAATTGTTGTGGTTGATGCAGATGTTGTTCTTAACCTTTTATTAGCATATAATACACATAAAGAAAAGCACACATAAATATACAGCTCACACTTTCGCCAACTGAACACCAACATCACCAACGCCCAGATGATGAAACAGAACGTCACCAGCAAGCACCCCAGCATCGCCCTGTGCTCCCGTCGCATCGCTTAACCCACATTCCCTCCGTCCACAAGGGGAACCACTGTTTTCACTTTGAAAAGCATAGGTTAGTTAGGTGTGTTTTTGTAATTTATGTGGGTGGAATCCTGTTGTACGTACTCCCGTATCTGGCTTCTTTCACTCAGCATTGTGTGTGTGAAATTTATCCATAGTACTGTTTGAGGTTGTAGATTGCTCATTCTCATCGTTACGTAGCGTTCCATTGCATGACTGGACCACAGTTGTTTAGTCATTCTACTATCTGTGGACATTCGGGTGGTTTCCAGGTTTTGATTATTGCGACGAATGTTGCTGTGAACATTCTAGAACATATGTTTTGGCATTTCTGTTGGATACATACTTAGGGGTGGAATTGGTAGACGGTAGGCCAGGCACCCGTTTAGCTTTGGTAGATCCAGTCAAATAGTTTCCCAAAGCGATGGTTGAATGTAAAAAATGAGAAAGCCAGACTGCTGTTGCTCACCTTCTGATGATGCGTATGAAACCGATTAACGTGAGTGTTCAGGAACCTCTGAGGCACAAGCTTGAGATAAAGGATAGTCTTGCAATTTCCCTCAGGGGTGCATAAACCCAGGAAATAATTCTTATATCTACCGTCTAAGACACACCGTGAAGACCTAAAAGCGTATACCAGTTAATCACCTCTGCAGTTCAGCCTTACTCTAGTTGGAAGATTCAGGTTGGGTAGTCAAAGTGCGGCCACTAACTTTAGATACAAGATATTGTCTGCGATCATAATTAGAACTGGCATCCTCATTTCAGTTTCACAGGTTTAGCATTTACTCTGTGTGTGCCGTGCCCACTTATCCTCTAAAGTATAGCCACCGGGCCCAGTTTCCTGCCTCATTTCCAAAGTCTGAAGTGTTTCACATGATCCGTTCAGCTTCTTCAGTGGATTTCTTTCACATGTACTCTCACAGATGTGACGCTAAGATTTAGTCACTTGGCTGTTAGTTAGAACTCATGATCAAAAGCGTTCTGTGCTTACCTGACCCACTGTGTTGTAGACGCCGCCTACTGTATAATATATACTAAGGGTTACTTCCAGAAGAGAGCTCCTTACAGGACTACAGGCCACATCCCACGATGACACCCAGTAAATCGTGTCTTCTTGTGACCTTGTTGACTTCAAAAGCTTGCGGTTTAGAGTCCTCAAAGCCGTTCTTTTTAGGCACTGCTTTCGATCAGAGAACAAATGACAGGGGTGCTTGGGATGGAGCCCCTGTGTGGGCAAATGGGGGTTTTAAAAACCACCTGGGTGTGTATTTGTGCAGGTGCCTGCAGCTTTCTAGTTTCCTTTCTGATCCACCTGCTGCTAAGTAGCGCTAAGCGAAGGTAAACAGAATGTGAGAGTGTTCATATCATGTGAAAATTAAATTGTCTGTCGCTTCGAAGGTATCCTGGGATCCTGCCCGGAGCTGGTATTTTGGTGTGTTCTCTATATAGCACTGATGAAACTTTGCGTTAATTCACATCATTCTGAAGAGTTCGTATTAATTTGGCTCATAGATATTTGCTCTAGACCACGCTATTAACCACACATACCAAAAGCAAGAAAGCAAGCTATTGAGGGATAAAAGGGGATGATCTTTGGAGAAGTGGGGCAGTGAAGGGACTTGATTTTCTCCATCTACTTTTGGTCAAACCACTAGAACTATCCCTGTTCTAACTTGTGCTTCAGTCTTTGATCATTTCCATCATGATCCTGACTTTAATACAGTGGGATCATATGTATTCTGTATGTTGATGTTGAAGGCTGGCCCTTCGGAAGCTCTGTGCTCACACTGCACAATGGCTGTCCTCATGTAAGTAGTGCTTAGCCTTGGCCTTAGCCCGAGATGTTTCAAAGGCTAATTGTAGATGACAATAAATTACAGATAAGACAAGCTACTGTCAGATAATGCTTTTTTATACGTAAAAACAAGTGCTTTATTATAATAGTATGAATAGTAATAATTCCTTGATTCTGATTATTTCCGTGGTATTTCGAAAAAATGTTATGTCTTAGAGTAGCACTTTAAAGTGATGCAAATACTCAGTTATACTTTAGCACTTATTCCCACATACGATCCTTCAATAAAATGTTTAATGCAAGTGAAGGGTAAGTAAATAAAACACCACTAATGAAAACCAGCAGAAACAACGAAACCTAAAAACAGATGCACAAAGACTTTTGAGGCACTGGAATTGTGAGACACGGACCATAAAATAGTTGATTACTGTGTTTAAAGAGCTTGAAGACAAGCTTAAAATGCCTTCAAGTAAAAAGATGCTGTGAAAAACGACCTAGCAACTACAAAATTGAGTTTTTAGTTACTGAAAGAAATTTAAAAGACCTAAATAAATAGATATACTATGTTCATTGGTTGGAAGACTCAGTACTGTTATCTTCAAACTGATCTATAGATTTAAATCCCAGTCAAAATCCTTATAAGGTGATTTTGGAGATAAAGCTAATTCTAAAATTTATATGAAATACACAGGACCTAAAACAGTCAAAACAATTTTGAAAAAGAACAAAGTTGGGGAACTTACAGCAATTGATTTCTAGGCTTACAAGCTTAGCAAGCTACAATAACCAGTGCAGTGTGACATTGGCAAAAGAATAGACTGTGGATCAAAGGAACAGAATAAAGAATCCAGAAATAAATCCGTGCATATATGGTCATTTGATTTACAGCAGAGATACCAAGGCAGTTCAGTGTGAGAAAGTGTAATGTTTCCAACCAGTGGTGTTGGAAAAATTGGGTATTTATACAGGAAAACAACAACAACAACAACAAAACAAACCTTGAGCTTTACCTCACAATCATACATAAAAATTAACTTAAAATGGATCATAGACCTAAGCCAAAAAAGCTAACAGTGTAAAACCTCTAGAGGAAAACACAAAAGAAAATCCTGGTATCAGATTAAGCAGAGATTTGTTAAGACACCAAAAAAACATAAACCATAAAAGAAAAGCTTAATAAATTGTACTTCATTAAAATTTAAAACCTTTCTCATCAAAAGATACTGTTAAGAAAATGAAAAAATGCAGGTCTCAGACTGTCACATGACCTTGAGTGGTTCACTCTACCTTTCTCAGTGTCCTTTTTAGTTTATAAAAGTTGTTTTTTGTGAGATACAAATTATGTATATTGTAAAGTTCTGTGTAAATGTAAGACATTATTATTGTAGTTTTCAGAGCTATCAGCATTTCCTCTTAGCCGCAGGTAGGTATTTCTTAGTCACCTTGCTCCCTCTGTACATTTTTTTAAACTAGGCAGAAATAAGACAAAAGACAAAAACTTGTCACTCCATGCATATGTGTACTCCCATAAGGCACCGTGGCTCTCTTATAACAGCCTTGTCAGTTACAAGGAAATATTCTTCCTGAACTTTGAAGCTAAGACGTATTATAAACTTAATTTAAACATCAGGCAATTCTACTAGTCATTTTTATAAGCGTCCAGAGTCTTGGAAAAGAGGATTCTTTACTTTTTAGCCCTTTTGGCAACTAGACCCCTTTTATTTATCAATCTTAAAAGTATCTTGGACACAAAAAAGTAGTTTCCTGGGAATTCCCTGCAGTTCAGTGGTTAGGACTCTGCACTTTCCTGCTGAGGGCCCGGGTTTGATCCCTGGTCGGGGAAGTAAGATCCCGCATGCCGCGAGGCACAGCCAAAAAGAAAAAGAAAACAAAGTAGTTTCCTCTCAAAGCCTAATTCTAGCTACAGAGGAAGTCACTTTCTTTTTAAATTTCCATGGATAATAAATGGTTCACTCACTCAACCTGTATGCCCGAGCATCTGTATGCTCAGTGTTGCAGGAGGCATCATCATAAAGGTAATAAAGGTAAATAAAAAGTGGTTCCTGCCCTTAGAGAGCACACACCTTAATAAAGAAGACATAGATCCCATCTCCCTACCTGTTCCTCTACCACCGCCCCCCCCCCCCCCGGAAAAAAAAAGACAGAGTAAAATGTGATCATGGAGATAAAACAAAAACAAAGTACTCTGGGAGTTCAGAGACACCATTTGTAGCTGGGGAACTGGGAAGTACTTCATGAAGGAGAGGACGGTTAGGGAGGGAAGAGCAGGTTTCAACAGATGGGAAGAATGGGGAGGGCATTCTAGGCAGAAGAAATGGCTGATTTGAGTTAATAATAAGGTGTCAATAGTAGTTCAGGTTTTTTTTCTGGTTTTTAAGTAATTTGTTTATAGTACTGCATTTACAAAGAGAATAGTTCACCCAGTAGAAAGAATAAAAATGTATTTGGGGTTTTATTTTTAACTGACTGCAAATAGAAATCCTTTAGTGACATCGTGGCAATTTGACAGTTATGATTAAGTTCAATAAAAGTACATGGGGTACTTGCAAGATCAGATTCTAGCTGCTGCTTTCTAACAGCCTCTGATTCATCTGGCTCCTTAAATGATACGGGCTAAAGCCCTTATTTGGTGGGGAAACATTTCCAAAATGAACTTCTAGGTTCTCCTTAATAATTTTCTCCTGTCAATTGTTAAAAATAGGACTTTCTGTTTCTGTGTCTGTGTGTGTGTTGGTTATTTCACCGAAGTGTCATCACCCGAATTCCTATAACTTCATAATTGTGATTTTACAATGTAGAAAAAAATTCAGTTGTTGTAGTCTGCTATTGCTTTAGGTGTACATATTGCTGAAAACCCAAAGTAGATTAGAATTGCTAAAGGATTTTTCTGCCATTGTTTGATGTAGTCTGGTTTCTTTATTCCTTTTTAAAAAATTTTATTGAAGTATAGTTGATTTACAGTGTTGTGTTTAATTTCTGTTATATAGCAAAGTGACTGTTATACATATATTTACATTTTTTTCATATTCTTTCCCATTATGGCTTATCACAGGATATTGGATATGGTTCCCTGTGCTAAACAGTAGGACCTTGTTGTTTATCCATCCTATATGTAATCGTTTGCATCTGCTAATCCCAAACTCCCAATCCTTCCTTCCCCCGACCCACTCCCCCTTGGCAACCACAAGTCTGTTCTCTATGTCTGTTAGTCTGTTTTTGTTTTGTAGATAAGTTCATTTGTGTCGTATGTTCCCTTTATTCTTGATAGGTACGTGGACAGCCTCACTTCTAGTGCTCTACTAATATAAGATGTTAACAGGGGAAACTGAGTGTGGGAGTGTATGGCAATTCTCTGTACCATTTTCATAATTTTTCTGTCAACCTAAAACTGTTTCAAAACATAAATCCTATTTTTAAAAAGCCATCAGGGTGATACTGTTTTGGATCTATTAAATTAGTAAGTATGTTAAATAATCTTTTAAATAATATTTAAGTGTCCAAATGCTGGTGGACAATATGATGAAATTGGATGATGCATACATTGCTAATGGCTAATGTAAATTGATATTACCTTTTAGGGAAAAACTTGAATTTTATTTCACTAATCTATAGGAGTAAGTATCACAGGAAATTATTCAAAAAACAAGACATCTATAGATGTAGATACACACATGCGTCATATACATAAATATGTCCACTGCAGTGTTATTAACAAAAAGGGGAAATTGAGTTATAAGAGGCCATTTTAAATAAATTATGATGCATTAACTCAATAAAACAGCAGTTTTTAAATTGTGTTCTGAAGATACCCCCAGGATGCTAGCCCCTTCTGGGGGTCAGCAAGACTAAAAATATTTTCATGATAATACTAAGACACTCTGTGCCTTTTGCATTCTCATTCTTGCATGAGCGTCACTGAGTTCTTCCCGAGGCTGTATGATCACACAGCAGATTGATGCAGAGGCAGATGTGAGAGTCCAGATGTCTTCCGTGAGGCCAGGCATTAATGAGATTTGTAGATATGTAAGGCATTGCCCTTCTTCTCACTCAGATTTTTTTTGTTTTGGAAAATATAGTAACTTTACATTTTTTAAAAATACGTTACATTGACGTATGGTGGGTTTATCGTTTTTAAATGAAATTAAAATTTTCTCAGTTTTAATTTTTAATGCAATAAATATCAGGAGACATAATCCACATGGACAAAAGCTCAGTGCGGTCCTCAGTGATTTTCAAGAGTGTAAAAAAGATCCTGAAGGATCACCATAATGAATTAATAAACATATTTTATTGTTACAGTTACAAAGACTTGCAGCATGGCAAAGTAATTCGATAATAGTGAAAAGAAGTAGAATTTAAAATGGCACAATCGCTGATCACGACCACAGAAAAGTATAAATGTGTGGGTTGGTTGGTTCGCGGCACGCACGTGTTCACGTGGCCAAGGGTTAGGAAGGAGCGTCCAAAAAAGAGCTCATTGGTTTGTTAGGTGGCTGGGATAGGGCGCTTGTTTGTTTCTGGTACTTTGTAATAACATGTTATACACAGAAAACATTTTTTTTAAATTTAAATTTATTTATTTATTTTTGGCTGCATTGGGTCTTCATTGCTGCGTGCGGGCTTTCTCTAGTTGCGGTGAGCGGAGGCTGGTCTTCGTTGCGGTACGAGGGCTTCTCACTGAGGTGGCTTCTCGTTGCGGAGCACGGGCTCTAGGCGCGTGGGCTTCAGTAGTTGTGACTCGCGGGCTCAGTAGTTGTGGCTCATGAGCTCAAGAGCACAGTCTCAGTAGTTGCGGCACACGGGCTTAGTTGCTCTGTGGCATGTTGGATCTTCCCAGACCAGGGATAGAATCCGTGTCCCCTGCATTGACAGGCAGATTCTTAACCACTGCGCCACCAGGGAAGCCCCAAGGAAAACATTTTGATGCATTGCTTATTCAAATATTGTACAATTTAATAGAATTATTCATGCTAACATATTGAGAGAAGTAGGTGGAGTTCCTATGTCACATATACTTGTCTTTAGAGTTAATTATGTAGAGAGTTTTAAGGGAATGTTCATTTTTAAAATTATACTGACTAGGCTAATTCAGTTAGTTTGCATTCCACAAGTATAGTCTAACAGCTGGAACAGGTTACATGCCTAAAAACCAGAGGAAATCTAGCTGAAATTAGCTAATGGTTGCCTGTAAGTGGATGGTCAACATTATAGATAAATTAAGATCTGACCGTATATATATTTTTTTCTTTTTTACAAAGTTCAGTTAAAAACATGATTTGTTTTGTTTCTGTTTTTAGGAAATGACTATACCGTGGTGCTTAAGGAGAGCAGAACTTGTGTTTAAGTGTGTCAAAGGTAAACACAACCTTATATTTAACAACAACGACCTATATTTCTTCCTTGAAAATATTGAAAGTAGAGCAAACCAGGAGAAAGAATTGTAGCAGTTACCCCTGTCATCTGGTGCCTCAGTTAAATGGTTTAACAAGCACATATTTCATAGCGGCTTTTTTATCTACCTTTCTCCAATCGAAAAATAAAATCTCCAGCCCTCTTTTTTTGGGCCGTGTCACATGGCCTGCAGGATCTCAGTTCCCTGACCAGGGATTGAACCCGGGTCACAGGAGTGAAAGCCTGTAATCCTAACCACTAGGCCACCAGGGAACTCCCTCCAGACCTCTTGAAATGTGAGACTATTTGGACATTGATGGAGCTTACTCTCTGTTACCTTTTATTTTCTTGAAAAGAAAATAGAACCACGTGTTTAATTAATCTTTAATAACCTGTTTTGGCTTCATTGTGTGGAGGCAAAATAGGACTTAAGAAATGATCATTACAAGTATTTTGACGGAACTATGTGAAACCTCTCTGGCCTGGAGAAATAAGGATTGCAGAAGTTTATCTGGCCTTCAGGCTTAACCTTTCCTACAGGCAAGTAGCTACCTAAAAAGTCAAGACGTGCAGCTCCACCATGAAAATTCAGTTTATTTTCAATAAAGGACTGGTAGGCTTGAAGAGCAGAATTAATAATTCAGCAAAGTCTGTTGTTCTATTTTAGGTTTCATGATGGAAATGGCTTCATGGGACGGAGGAATTTCTAGGACAGTGCAATTTCTGGTACCACAGGTGTGTTATCTGGATAGCTCTCACCCCAGTTCAGTCTCTGTTGTGATATTCCTCGCAGACATAGCTAGGCACACTGCCGTAAACTCAAAATAGCATAAGAAAATGCTAGCAGCTTTCTGTGTTTTAAGGGGAGAAGTGTTTGCATGCCGTCAAGGCACTTAGTTTACTGTCAAAGATGTTAGTATCTGCCACTCAGGGGATCTTTGATTAAACCCCAAAGCTGAATGTAACTCATCTTTCCTGCCCCGCCCCACATTTATGTTACATCGATTCATAAAGAAGGACATGAGCAGAGGATGATTCCGTGTTCTATGTAAAATTTAGCAAAACTTATCACTGAATGCACTACAGTTATCTAGGGGTTTTTCTGGTAATCAGACTTATTATTTGACAGAAATAGCATAGGTTCTCAGAGGCTGGATCCAGAGAAATAGCCCTGCCCACAGCTGTGCAGTTAAATCAGCTCTGAAAGATAGTGTTCACATATTACACTCCATGTCTAGAACTATTGCCATTACTTCCATGTTTTAAAATACTTAAACATTTTTTTAAATCAGTGATGACTTAACAAGTGCAAACTGTTTTTTTTCTTACCTCTTAACAGAGCATTTCTGAAGAAATGTTTTACCAGCTTAGTAACATGCTTCCCCAGATCTTCCGAGTATCGTCAACACTCACCCTGACATCCAAGCACTAAACCCCCTAGATTGGTATCTAGCAGAAGAGGATGCGTAAACTATCCAGGAACTTGAGATGTGCTGGGATTCTGTCAAGCAAAAGATGCCCAGAAAGAGGACTTGCCACCCAAGCCACGAATCAAATCATGATAAACATCTGTTAAACGTTCCAAAATCCACATGCCGTACAGACTAGTACTCAGCCCCTTACTTATACAGTTATTCTTTTCTTTTTTCACACACACACACACACACACACACACACACACACACACTGTATTTTATTTTTACAAGAGATAAACTGACACCAAGCATTTTAAATGGATGACCACAACAAAAGCAACAATGACTGCAATTACCAAACACGAAACACACTCACACCATGTCATAATAGTGACATTCAGTCCAGGAATCCTCCACTGTAACAGCTCCTTTACTCTGCAGTGAAAATTGATTTGTATATTTTTTGCCTCTGAGTCCTTGTGGGATTTTTTTTTTCTTTCTTCATACAGAAGGTCACAAAAATTATAATCATCCCCATCAGTTCACTAGTCCCATGTAATTGATTTTTTTTTTCATCTTGATCTTTTGTTAGCACTTTTATGAATTCATCAGTTTTCCATTAGAGTTCTGAACATGCTTATTCATTCAGTTCAGCAGTATAGTCAGTTACCAGAAACCTGTGCTTGTCAGAGCCTTTTCCATGAATTCCCTGAAGATGAAACCCTTTTATAGGAACGTATTTGCAAAAGCATCAGAGTGCACCCAGAACTGTCTGTAAATGACCAAAGACTTAAAAATGACCACGGTTAAAGATTTGATGAAAGTTCATTATAATGCATTTGACAAGGAAATTTAGTTATTTGAGATACACATTTTAAAGTAATAACTAGAATTATGACTTACAACATTATACCAGAACATATAAGATTTTTAGAAATTTCATGTAATGTCTGAAACATCTATATTAACATATTTCCATACAAATAACCCAAAGAAAGTTTAGTATTAGTTGTTTTGTTTGTTTGTTTGCTTTTTATACTGCAGGTTCTTATTAGTCATCAGTTGTATACACATCAGTGTATACATGTCAATCCCAATCGCCCGATTCAGCACACCCCCATCCCCACCCCACCGTGGTTTTCCCCCCTTGGTGTCCATACGTTTGTTCTCTACATCTGTGTCTCAAAATCTGCCTTGCAAACCGGTTCATCTGTACCATTTTTTTAGGTTCCACTTACATGCGTTAATATACGATATTTGTTTTTCTCTTTCTGACTTCACTCTGTATGACAGTCTCTAGATCCATCCACGTCTCAACAAATGACTCAATTTCGTTCTTTTTTATGGCCGCATAATATTCCATTGTATATATGTACCACAACTTCTTTATCCATTTGTCTGTCGATGGGCATTTAGGTTGCTTCCATGACCTGGCTATTGTAAATAATGCTGCAATGAACATTGGGGTGCATGTGTCTTTTTGAATTATGGTTTTCTCTGGGTATATGCCCAGTAAGGCCAGTAATGGGATTGCTGGATCATATGGTAATTCTATTTTTAGTTTTTTAAGGAACCTCCATTCTGTTCTCCATAGTGGCTGTATCAATTTACATTCCCACCAACAGTGCAAGAGGGTTCCCTTTTCTCCACACCCTCTCCAGCATTTGTTGTTTGTAGAATTTTTGATGATGCCCATTCTAACTAGTGTGAGATGATACCTCATTATAGTTTTGATTTACATTTCTCTAATAATGAGTGATGTTGAGCAGCTGTTCATGTGATTCTTGTCCATCTGTAAGTCTTCTTTGGAGAAATGTCTATTTAGGTCTTCTGCCCATTTTGGGATTGGGTTGTTTGTTTCCTTAATATTGAGCTGCATGCGCTGTTTATATTTTTTAGAGATTAATCCTTTGTCCATTGATTTGTTTGCGAGTATTTTCTCCCATTCTGAGGGTTATCTTTTCATCTTGTTTATGGTTTCCTTTGCTGTGCAAAAGCTTTGAAGTTTCATTAGGTCCCATTTGTTTATTTTTGTTTTTATTTCCATTACTCTAGGAAGTGGATCAAAAAAGATCTTGCTGTGATTTATGTCAAAGAGTGTTCTATGTTTTCCCCTAAGAGTTTTATACTGTATGGTCTTACATTTAGGTCTCTAATCCATTTTGAGTTTATTTTTGTGTATGGTGTTAGGGAGTGTTCTAATTTCATTCTTTTACATGTAGCTGTCCAGTTTTCCCAGCACCACTTATTGAAGACACTGTCTGTCTTTTCTCCATTGTGTATCTTTGCCTCCTTTGTCATAGATTAGTTGACCATAGGTGTGTGGTTTTATCTCTGGGCTTTCTGTCTTGTTCCATTGATCTATGTTTCTGTTTTTGTGCCAGTACCATATTGTCTTGATTGCTGTAGCTTTGTAGTATAGTCTGAAGTCAGGGAGTCTGATTCCTCCAGCTCCATTTTTTTCCCTCAAGACTGCTTTGGCTATTCGGGATCTTTTGTGTCTCCATACAAATTTTAAGGTTTTTTGTTCTAGTTCTGTAAAAAATGCCATTGGTAATTTGATGGGGATTGCATTGAATCTGTAGATTGCTTTGGGTAGTATAGTCATTTTCACAATGTTGATTCTTCCAATCCAAGAACATGGTATATCTCTCCATCTGTTGGTATCATCTTTAATTTCTTTCATCAGTGTCTTATAGTTTTCTGCATACAGGTCTTTTGTTTCCCTAGGTAGGTTTATTCCTAGGTATTTTATTCTTTTTATTGCCGTGGTAAATGGGAGTGTTTCCTTAATTTCTCTTTCAGATTTTTCATCATTAGTGTATAGGAATGCAAGAGATTTCTGTGCAATAATTTTGTATCCTGCAGCTTTACCAAATTCATTGATTAGCTCTAGTAGTTTTCTGGTGGCATTTTTAGGATCCTCTGTGTATAGTATGTCATCTGCAAACAGTGACAGTTTTACTTCTTCTTTTCCAATTTGCATTCCTTTTATTTCTTTTTTTTCTCTGATTGCCGTGGCTAGGACTTCCAAAACTATGTTGAATAATAGTGGTGAGAGTGAGCATCCTTGTCTTGTTCCTGATCTTAGAGGAAATGCTTTCAGTTTTTCACCATTGAGAATGATGTTTCCCGTGGGTTTATCATATATGGCCTTTATTATGTGAGGAAGGTTCCCTCTATGCCCACTTCCTGGAGAGTTTTTATCATAAATCGGTGTTGAATTTTGTCAAAAGCTTTTTCTGCATCTATTGCGATGATCGTATGGTTTTTATTCTTCAGTTTGTTAATATGGTGTATCACATTGATTGATTTGTGTATATTGAAGAATCCTTGCATCCCTGGGATAAATCCCACTTGATCATGGTGTATGATCCTTTTAATGTGTTGGATTCTATTTGCTAGTATTTTCTTGAGGATTTTTGTGTCTATATTCATCAGTGATATTGGTCTGTCATTTTCCTTTTTGTAGTATCTTTGTCTGGTTTTGGTATCAGCGTGATGGTGGCCTCATAGAATGAGTTTGGGAGTGTTCCTTTGCAATTTTTTGGAAGAGTTTGAGAAGGATGGGTGTTAGCGCTTCTCTAAATGTGTGATAGAATTCACCTGTGAAGCCATCTGGTCCTGGACTTTTGTTTGTTGGAAGATTTTTAATCACAGTTTCAATTTCATTACTTGTGATTGGTCTGTTCGTGTTTTCTCTTTCTTCCTGGTTCAGTCTTGGAAGGTGATACCTTTCTAAGAACTTGTCCATTTCTTCCAGGTTGTCCATTTTATTGGCATAGAGTTGCTTGCAGTAGTCTCTTAGGATGCTTTGTATGTCTGCGCTGTCTGTTGTAACTTCTCCTCTTTCATTTCTAATTTTACTGATTTGAGTCCTCTCCCTCTTTTTCTTGATGAGTCTGGTAATGGTTTATCAGTTTTGTTTATCTTCTCAAAGAACCAGCTTTTAGTTTTATTGATCTTTGCTATTGTTTTCTTTGTTTCTATTTCATTTATTTCTGCTCTGATCTTTATGACTTCTTTCCTTCTGCTGACTTTGGGTTTTGTTTGTTCTTTCTCTAGTTCCTTTAGGTGTAAGGTTTGATTGTTTACTTGAAATTTTTCTTGTTTCTTGAGGTAGGCTTGTATAGCTATAAACTTCCCTCTTAGAACTGCTTTTGCTGCCTCCCTTAGGTTTTGGATCGTCGTGTTTTCATTGTCATTTGTCTCTAGGTATTTTTTGATTTCCTCTTTGATTTCTTCAGTGATCGCTTGGTTATTTAGTAACGTATTGTTTAGCCTCCATGTGTTTGTGTTTTTTTACGTTATTTTCCCTGTAATTCATTTCTAATCTCATAGCATTGTGGTCAGATAAGGTGCGTGATATGATTTCAATTTTCTTAAATTTACTGAGCCTTGATTTGTGACCCAAGATGTGATCTGTCCTGGAGAATGTTCCATGCGCACTTGAGAAGAAAGTGTAATCTGCTGTTTCTGGATGGAATGTCCTATAAATATCAATTAAATCTATCTGGTCTATTGTGTCATTTAAAGCTTCTGTTTCCTTATTTATTTTTATTTTGGATGATCTGTCCATTGGGGTAAGTGAGGTGTTAAAGTCCCCCACTATTATTGTGTTATTGTCGACTTCCTCTTTTATAGCTGTTAGCAGTTGCCTTATGTATTGAGTTGCTCCTATATTGGGTGCATATATATTTATAATTGTTATATCCTCTTCTTGGATTGATCCCTTGATCATGATGTAGTGTCCTTCCTTGTTGCTTGTAGCATTCTTTGTTTTAAAGTCTATTTTATCTGATATGAGTATAGCTACTTCAGCTTTCTTTTGATTTCCATTTGCATGGAATATCTTTTTCCATCCCCTCACTTTCAGTCTGTATGTGTCCCTAGATCTGAAGTGGGTCTCTTGTAGACAGCATATAGATGGGTCTTGTTTTTGTATCCATTCAGCAAGCCTGTGTCTTTGCTTGGAGCATTTAATCCATTCATGTTTAAGGTAATCGATATGTATGTTCCTATGGCCATTTTCTTAATTGTTTTGGGTTTGTTTTTGTAGATCCTTTTCTTCTTTTGTGTTTCCCACTTAGAGAAGTTCCTTTTGCATTTGTTGTAGAGCTGGTTTGGTGGTGCTGAATTCTCTTAGCTTTTGCTTGTCTGGAAAGCTTTTGATTTCTCCATCAAATCTGAATGAGATCCTTGCCGGGTAGAGTAATCTTGGTTGTAGGTTCTTCCCTTTCATCTCTTTAAGTGTATCATGCCACTCCCTTCAGGCTAGCAGAGTTTCTGCTGAGAAATCAGCTGTTAACCTTATGGGAGTTCCCTTGTGTGTTATTTGTCATTTTTCCCTTGCTGCTTTCAATAATTTTTCTTTAATTTTTGCCAGTTTGATTACTATGTGTCTTGGCGTGTTTCTCCTTGGGTTTATCCTCTCTGGGACTCTCTGTGCTTCCTGGACTTGGGTGGCTATTTCCTTTCTCATGTTAGGGAAGTTTTCGACTATAATCTCTTCAAAGATTTTCTCAGGTCCTTTCTCTTTCTCTTCTCCTTCTGGGACCCCTATAACGCGAATGTTGTTGCATTTATTGTTGTCCCAGAGGTCTCTGCTGTGTTCATTTGTCTTCATTCTTTCTTCTTTATTCTTTTCCACAGCAGTGGATTCCACCATACTGTCTTCCAGGTCACTTATCTGCTCTTCTGTCTCAGTTAATCTGCTATTGATTCCTTCTAGTGTAGTTTTCATTTCAGTTACTGTATTGTTCATCTCTGTTTGTTTGTTCTTTAATTCTTCTAGGTCTTTGCTAAACATTTCTTGCATCTTCTCAATCTTTGCCTCCATTGTTTTTCCGAGGTCCTGGATCATCTTCACTATCATCATTCTGAATTCTTTTTCTGGAAGGTTGCCTATCTCCACTTCATTTAGTTGTTTTTCTGGGGTTTTATCTTGTTCCTTCATCTGGTACATAGCCCTCTGCCTTTTCATCTTGTCTATCTTTCTGTGACTGTGGTTTTTGTTCCACAGGCTGCAGGATTGTAGTTCTTCTTTCTTCTCTCTGCCCTCTGGTGGATGAGGCTATCTAAGAGGCTTGATGGGAGGGACTGGTGGTAGGTAGAGCTGGGTGTTGCTCTGGTGGGCAGAGCTCAGTAAAACTTTAATCCACTTGACTGTTGATGGGTGGGACTGGGTTCCCTCCCTGTTGGTTGTTTGGCCTGAGGCAACCCAACACTGGAGCCTACCGGGGCTTTTTGTTGGGGCTAATGGCAGACTCTGGGAGGGCTCATGCCAAGGAGTACTTCCCAGAACTTCTGCTACCAGTGTCCTTGTCCTCAAGGTGAGAGACAGCCACCCCCTGCCTCTGCAGGAGACCCTCCAACACTGGCAGGTAGGTCTGGTTCAGTCTCCCCTGGGGTCACTGCTCCTTCCCCTGGGTCCCGATGCACATACTACTTTGTGTGTGCCCTCCAAGAGTGGAGTCTCTGTTTCCCCCAGTCCTGTCAACGTCCTGCAATCAATTCCCGCTATGCTTCAAAGTCTGATTCTCTAGGAATTCCTCTTCCCGTTGCCGGACGCCCAGGTTGGGAAGCCTGACATGGGGCTCAGAACCTTCACTCTAGTGGGTGGACTTCTGTGGCATAAGTGTTCTCCAGTCTGTGAGTCACCCACCCAGCAGTTATGGGATTTGATTTTACTGTGATTGCGCCCCTCCTACCGTCTCATTGCGGCTTCTCCTTTGTCTTTGGATGTGGGGTATCTTTTTTGGTGAGTTCCAGTGTCTTCCTGTCGATGATTGTTCAGCAGTTCGTTGTGATTCTGGTGTTCTCTCAAGAGGGAGTGAGCGCACGTCCTTCTACTCCGCCATCTTGGTTCCTTTCCTCTATACAGTTATTCTTAAAGTCTCTTTATGAAAAAAAAAGTGTCCTTTTTTCCTACCATTATGTCCTATCTGTGAATATTCGTGAGTCAAAACTTCCTATGTGTCACACACAGATACTAGGTGTAGGAGACTATTCGCTACAATTTCATGGAGATATTTGACTTTTCCAAAAGATTTGAATCATTCCAGGTACAAGGCTTAATTAACAATACAAATAAAACCTTCCCTCTACCTTATTTTCCAATTAAATTAAAAAATTACAAAGCAGTGAAATATACATTGCAAGTATGGATTTCCTGTGATAATCTTTTTATAGAAGTGTATGAGACAAATGTGACTGTTTTAAATCCCTCCCTTTCAAAAACTTGCTTTTAAGGTACTCTTTCTAAGATTTTATAAGAGTCAAAAAAGGACTTTGGATTCTTTACCCCTGTCTCATCTTCCCTTTGTGACCTTGCCCTTGTCTATTAATAACGTTTCGTGGACTGGGTAAGTAGTGTGCCTATGTGCAGGCCTGGTGGAAGTTGGTCTAAAGCAGCAACTGGCAGTGTTTTAGTGACACTGAGTCAACATGGTGATGATCAGACAGTGGGGAGCATCTTTATTTCTGCTTACTGCGCTCTCAGCTTCCTTAATCCTTTGGCTTCCTGCGTTACTTGGCCGATAACTGTGTCCCCGTTTCTGTCTCTGCTGTTTTGCCACCTTTTCCACTGTCTTTCCTTGTAGAACTACATTCTCAGATGCTCCCTATCCCATCTAGAACATATTTGCTATAAGTAGTGACTACAACGAATAAAGGCATCCACAAAAGCAATAGTTTCATCCAATCCAAATTGTATGCAGATTGTAACTGGCCAGCAGACTGAACTGGAGGACGTCTGACATCATCATAAGATGGTCTGTCTTGATTCCAAGAAACAAAAAGCACTCTATTAGTATGCCTAAATGTAATAACTTACGGAAACTCCTTTGGCACAGAAAAAACTTTCTCATAGACTGTGTCTTGATTTTCTACTCAAGGAAACAACTGTCCAGTAACAACCCTAAGGAGAGCACCACTCCAGACTGGGTCCATTACTCACTAACACTTTCCACATCCTTTTCCAAAGAGCCTGGTGATCCCACCAAGAACAAGGTAGGTGCTCTGTCCTCGGAGCAAGAAATTGTCTTCTGAGCATGAATGCTACCATTGCAACTGCTTCTAATGCAAAGCCAGGTAGACAGACAGAAAACTGGGCTGTGCAAGACCAGGGTCAGAGACTGTCAGGGTTTGTACTATGCCAGGTCAAGTTGAAGTGGGTGTAGTATGATCAAAAGATGTTCAGTTTATGCCTGTTCAATAAATTAGGAGTTTGGGATTAGCAGATACAAACTACTATATATAATATAAAATAGATAACAAGGTCCGGTTACCCACAGTACAGGGGACTATAGTCAATATCTTGTAATAAACTATAATGGAAAAGGATCTGAAAAAGTATGTATCTGAATCACTTTGCTGTACACCAGAAACTAACACAACACTGTAAATCAACGATACTTCAGTAAAATTAAATTAAAAAAAAATTTTTAGTAAATGAATAAAAGGCATTCAAAAAGAGGAGAATGTTTTCACAGAATTCCTGTAACTAAGTATAAAGCCAACAGCTTGAAGGGTGCAGTCAGGTGCAGGGATAAAGCTTCATTCACAAAAGGTGGGTGAGAGCTGCTACCCAGCTCTTCCTTTGTCACCTCAAGTCTGTTTTATTAGGTTTTATTAGGTATTAAGTGGCAGCTTTCACAGCAGGGCAATTTAAAGGTACCATTTGGCCTATGAAATCAAAATAAATGTATTAGGTATCTGTTTTTCACATGGTGCTGTATTGTGAAATATACAGAAGTGGTAAGACTGGAAAAAATCAAGCTATGGTGTTATATACAATTTTTATGAAGACACACCAAACACTAAGCCGATAACAAATACATAATTTACATACTTTAAAATACTAAATGGTAAAGATTTTAGATGAAGTCTGTAGTTTTGTATTTGGACTGAGAAGGATGAGATTAAGACTATTTCCCTGAGTGTTCTAGAAGCCTTCTTGGATGGGAGTGGTCTCAGACATTCCAAGAATAATGTGAAGAAGATGGCTTGGCCGGCTGAGAAGAGAAGGGGCATCCTCGGTGTCGGGTCCAGATGCGAGCAGGAGTAGATAAAGGAGGCGGGATACACAGCCCGGATGGTGAAGAAGCTGATCGCAAGAGCCTTCTGCGGATACCAGGCAGGGCCCAGGCCTTCGTGCAGACATTGGTGAAGACTGTCTCACTGAGCGTCAGGTTCTCTATTTGTACAAACAGTTAAGCATTCCTGCGACAGACAACAAGGTCCTCAAGGCTTTAAAAACACACTTTGGAAATGAGGCAGGCACTGAGCCTGAGGTCTCCAGTCCCTACTGCCCTTTCCTCCCCTGCCCCCATTTCTGTTCTCAAAGCACGAAACCCAGCGAGGCTGTAACCTTGCCTCGATGGGGAAGGGTGGCACCAGCTGTTCCTCGGAATGACATTGCAATGGGAATGGAAGAAATGCATGAAAAGGAATTTCAAGAGAAACACAACTTAGGTTGCCTGGGTGCTGGCAGATCTCTTACTGGCACAGTACATGCTGTCTGTGTCACTGCAGTTGGATCCTGGCTGATTCTCACAAGAAGAAAAAATGTTCCACAAAGGAAAGGTGAATTCACGGAAAGATTCCTGTTCAAGAGGCCTTCGGGAGAATCAGCAGAGCCGTGTTGAAAGAACGAAGAAAGTTGAAAGAGTGGCTCCTCAGGCCTGTTCTCCAGCTTCTAGGTGAAGGAGTTTGCTTCTGTTACTTAGTTTTCCCATTTAGGTGAAATTGGACTGCTTTGCCTAAAAGAAGTCAGGGCAGTGTAAAAATCCTTATCATTATTTAGAAATAATAAACAATATTTTATAACACCTATTTACAAAAAGTTCCATGAGTTCAGAACCATTTAGATGGATGGTTTTCTATCCTTGAACCATCAAAGAACCTTTCCATTATCTCCCCCCATATTTCCCTGAAATGTTCTGAAAACTTTCCCTTAGCAAACAATTTGAGCAGTTACCTGTTTTTCACTCATCAAAGACATGTCTGTGGAGCTGAGAGACAGACGGTATCATGGCGTAGGATTATCACTGTACAGGGGCTCCCCTGGTGGCGCAGAGGTTAAGAATCCACCTGCCAATGCAGGGGACACGGATTTGAGCCCTGGTCCAGGAAGATCCCACATGCCGCGGAGCAACTAAGCCCGTGCACCGTAACTACTGAGCCTGCGCTCTAGAGCCCGTGTGCCACAACTACTGAGCCTGCGTGCCACAACTACTGAAGCCCGTGCTCCTAGAGCCCGTGCTGCAAAAAGAGGAGCCACCGTAATGAGAAACCCACGCACCGCAACGAAGAGTAGCCCCCTCTCGCCGCAACTAGAGAAAGCCCGCGCGCAGCAATGAAGACCCAACATAGCCAAAAGTAAAATAAATAAATAAAATACTGATGAATTACAAAAAAAAAAAAAATTATCACTCTATAGTTCCAGGCAGGTTCACAAAAATCAAAAACAAAACCTTGCCATTTTATGTTAACCTGTGAAGTCTTGTCCTAGTGAAATGTATTTTTGGAAATATTTTTTTTCAATAGCTCAGTGACATATTTAAGACAACTCTAAGGACCACAAATTCCAGAAACCTCAAGGTGGGAAACACAGCTTTAGAAGGAAATGTTTACATGAGAATATGTTACAAAGGGAGGGTGGGGTAAGGACCACTTGGCGGCAGATTGACCTGAGTCCCGTTCAATACACAGCAAGTGTTTGCCGAGTTTCTTCTGTACACGAAGGCACAGAGCTGAGCAAGATGCAGCCTCTAGAAAGCTGTACAAAGGAGATGGACTTGAGGAGCTATTTGATTAAAGTAAGAAGATTTAGACTTTTCTGTGGCCTGTGATGCTGACAGTCTCTCACGACCAGAACAAAATCCCAACTAAAGCCCGGGAATGGATGGGTAGCCTCCTGAGGTTCCCTGCAGGACTAACACGTGAGGTCCTGTTCCATATGCACAGCTACAGTTACTACTACTGCTGCTTTTCCTGTCTTCCCAGAAGAAGCAGAGTTCCTCCCGTGTCCGAGTCTGAGAACTGGCTCAACTTCATGCTACATGCAGTGAATCCTCACTCATCGTGGCCTCTACGTTTGCAAATTCTCCTGCTTGCTAAAATGTATTTGTAGCTCCAAAATAATAAAGCATTTACAAAAGCAATAGTCTCATCACCTCCAAGTTGCGTGGATATTGTAACCGACCCTCAGGATGAAAGGGGGGCCCTTTGGCACCGTCTTGGGCATCATTTGTGCACATGCACAGAGCAGCGGAAAACTGAGTTGCCGGACACACACACACTCCCAGCTGAGAGAAGAAGGGTGACCCTCCACCTTCCGGTCTCAGCTCCACTAACATAAACAAGTGTCCTTTTCAAGGTCTATTTCCTGCCACATTTTTTACATTTTTGTGCTTTTTCTTGGTGATTTTGCTGTTTAAAATGCCCCCCAAGTGTAGTGCTGAAAGGCTATCTGGGGTTCGTAAGTGCAAGGGAGGTGTGCTGTGCCTTATGGAGAAATACAGGTGTTACGTGAGCTCTGTCCACTTAGGCATCAGTTGCGGCACGGCTGGTCGTGGGTTCAATGTTAATGAGTCAACAACCTGTATTAAATAAGGAGTCTCTAGAAAGGAACACACATAAGAAAGGTTATGTATTGACTGGCAATGAAAATGTGATGAGAGGCTTGCAGGATTTGCTAACTCAGGGTCCACAGCACCAGAGTCGACTGTCTGCCTGTGTTCTCTCGCAGGCAGGAGAGCATGACGAGCTCTCTGTGGATGCCTTTGGCACATAGAGAATGAAACCCAGAACACAGTACCCAAGAAGCACGCAGATCCTTTCTGGAGATGTCGAGGGATGCAGCAGAAACCGTGCAGTTTCGGTGTGACACCTGTGTTAGTGGGTCTCTCCCTCCCTCTGTGCTCTCTTCTGCTTTCTCTCCTTCTTTCCTTTTCTTTCTTTATGGTGAGGTCCTGGTTCCTTGTTATCTGCTCCTCTGTGCTCAAAACTCTCAGCGTGACAGTCCGACATCAGAGATGGGAACCCAGTTAAACAAGTCTGCCTCAAAGACTGCCTCCCTGATTTACTTGCTATGGCTTGTCCCCAGGCGTATTAGCTACCCTCGGAAGCGTGTTTCCTCAGCTGTAAGCTAGGAAGCATTAATAATAGTATCTACCTCACTTAGTAGGTGGGAGGATTAAAGAAGAAAGCGCACACGACCTGGCGTATAATCATTCTATAAATATGTGCTGCTATTATCCTTCCTTCCTTTCTTCCTTCCTGTCTGACCTTTCTCCTCTTTTCCTTCTTTCCTTTCACTGGATTGTAGGGACACGAAGTCACTTACCTCACTGTGTCCTGAGGCAGCGTGCAGCCCAGTTGAGTTAGGACGAGAACTCAGGGTAACTCGCAGGACCAGTCCGCACACAGGAAGGTACACAGTCAGTGCAGAGTGCGATGCACATAGTTGGCTGTGGACGTCAAAACAGAAACACGAGCAATGCGTTGGGCCGAGAGGGCTGTTGAGCCCCTTGGGAGCAGACGGCCTGGCCCTTTCTCTCTCTGGCATGGAGTGCGTATCCCCTGGAGCTTTCGTCCCTCTCGATGGGCAAGCGCGGATCTCCTGGCAGACACACAACGCCACCTGTGCCAGGAGTGGCAACAAATTCAAAGGGCGGGGGGGGGCGGGGGGAGTGGCAGGAGGAAGTCACAGGGTAGGCGACTGACCCTGTATTTGATGGAGCAGGAAGGACGCTCACATTTTTATCGGGTGAATCTGGATTTTGGACGTAACGATAGTAGGAAGTAGTTCGGAGGTTTAAAGTCCGCTGCCACCGGAGCAGGAGCATAGAATTTGCCCCTGTGATGCTTTCTTCCCTGGTTCGTCCCTGAGGATCTCCTGTCCGTGAGCTGATCAGCTGTGTGCTCTTGTGCAGATGACTCACTGAGGCCAGAGGATTAAATACTGGCAAAGGATTCAGTTCCAGGACGGTTAGGGAAGACGTCCCGGGGATGAGAGAAGAGAATGTGAACTCAGAAATCCCTGGTCCACTCCCTCGGCTCTGCGTGTGGTGACGGTGAAGTAGGGAGGGGGCAAGAGGGCAAGTTCATCTCTTTGTTCTTTTCTAAAACCCTCTAGGCCACCTTGTCTGGTGTAGCACATTGGACATTTACTCTTCTGTGTAAATTTTCTTTTATTGTGAAATACTTCACACATACAGAGAAGCTAGGAGAATTAGATAACAAATCCTCATTTCTCTACTACCTATATGCAATCTTAACATTTTGCTGTGTTGGCTTCGGGTCTCTCTTAAGACGTAAAACATCAAAGACACAGTTGAACCCTTGTCCCTTTTGCCCCTCCTGCATTCTGTGCTCCTCCTAGGTCAGCTATTTCTCAGTAACAAACCACCTGGAAACTTAGTGGCCGAAACAATAAGCCCTGTTACTCCTCATGACTCCTTGGTCACCTCGGCTGCTCTGGTCTTACCTGGGCTCAGTCTTCAGATCCGCTTCAGTAGGTCAGGTGGGTGGCTCTGATGATCTTGGCTTGTCTCTCTCAGGTGGTTGGAGGTCAGCTGGCTGTAGGCTGGAATAGGCTGACCTCAGCTGGGACACCTGGACTGTCCTTCACTGGGTCTCCTCCTGCAGGAGGCTGGCCCCAACTTGCTCACGTGCGTCAGTAGTTCGGAAAAGACAGAGGGATCGTGCGATGCCTCTGAGGCCTAGACTCAGAACTGACACACATCACTTGTATACCACATTCCGTTGGTTAAAGCAAGCCCCAAAGCCATCGCATATTCTAGGAGTGAGGTAATAGGCTCCCTGTTTTGATGAGAAGTGCTACTAAAGTCCCATAGCAAAAAGCATGGACACAGGGTGGGGAGGAAATGTGGGAATATTTCTGCTACCAATGTATCAGTCTTTCCTCAGTAGTGATTGCCGTCTTAACTTTGATGTTCTTCATTCTCCTGGGTTTATTTATAGTTTCAGTGCATATCTGTATAGTGTACATCCATGTCTATATAGTGTAGCCATAAAACATGTCGTATTGAGATGTGCCGACGGTGTCATACTGAAAGCATTATCTCCTGCATGTCACTCAACAACTTGCTTTTGTTAAACCCCATATCATGCTTTTGAGATTTAACCATACTGATACAGATAGGGCCACTTCATTCATTTTAGCTGCTATATACTACTTTTGAGTACTCTGAATTATATGCTTACGGCCCAGTTTGTTTATTTGTTTATTCTCCTCTTGATGGACAGTGAGACGCTTTGCATTGTGCATGCACATTAGCTTCTCCAGGGTGTGTCTCTGTGAGTGGAATTGGTGGATTCTAGAGTATTAACAACTTCGAATTTGTTAGTTCCAAATTTAACTCCAAAGTGTTTGTCCCAAATAACCCTCCCACTGAGAGCATATGAACACTCCTTTTTTCCTCCATATCCTTGTAGAAACCAGGCAAGAACTTCCAGCAATTTTAATTTTTGCCATTCCAGTAAGAAATAGTGCCATTTGGTTTTGCATTTCTGTTGTCACTGGTGATGTTGTGTAGCATAGCATGTTTGTTGGCCATTTTGATTTCCCTGGTCATGAACTGTTTGAATAATTTTTGAGGAACCTCCAGACTGTTTTCCACAGTGACTGCACCTGTTTACATTCTCACCAACCGTGCACAAGGCTTCCCTTTTCTACACATCTTTGTCAACACTTGTTGTCTCTTGTCTTTTTGATAGTAGCCATTCTAACAGGTGTGAAGTGATATCTCATTGCACTTTTGATTTGCATTTCCCTGATTATTAGTGATATTGAGCATCTTTTCATGTACCTATTGGTATGTCTTTGGAAAAATGCCTATTCAGTTCCTCTGCCAATTTTTTAATTGAGTTGTTTCTTTGTTTGTTTGTTTTTGTTATTGAGTTGTATGAGTTCCTTATATATTTTGGATATTAACCCCTTATCAGATACATGATTTGCAAATATTTTCTCCCATTCCATACATAGGTTGCATTTTCATTTTGTTGATGGTTTCCTTTGCTATGCAGAAGCTCTTTAGTTTGGAATAGTCCCACTTGTTTATTTTTGCTTTTGTTGCCTTTCTTTTAGTGTCAAATCCAAAAAATCAT